GGGCCAGGACATTCGCTGTTTTCTCGCAACAAACAAACCGAAGAAAGCGCCTCTTTTATGACACTTTAAAGCCGATTCTCCCCCGAGTAGTTACTTTTTAATGAAGAAATAACGCCGGCGCAACAATGAATTCCAAATGGCGTTTTCTGCAAATAATTGCCGGAGATAATTACCCATTAAGCCACTGCAGATTTCATTTCATTCAGCCATTGTTCACTCAATTGCTGATTTAAAGAGCTGCAAGGGGTCCACCCCATCTCCCACTACTTACTGTGTTTATTTTCCTACTTGAGCGGTAATTTCGCGTTAACATTGTCACGTTTTTCACCCGAAATCGAACGTTTAACAATGACTGGGGCCACACGGCGTATGTGTAATGTGTTCAAAATGACAGGGTTCTCTCGCTCGTCTGCCGTCAGGGATTAGTGGCAAGTGACTGGAAGGATATGTGTCCTTGAAACTAAAGTACCCAAGGCTGGTTCTCTGAAACTGAAACTTTTTCGATCTGTCAGAGGGAAAGGGGCTTTTGGGGGGCGTGTCAAAAGGGCGAAATAGCAATCTTACTTAACACAAAATATATTGTGGCAGCGCCATTTTCAATGGCTTCGAGGGCTGTTCAAAGAGTTTTAGCCAAGTGCTTGGGATAACTGCTCGAAACTGATGGGCTAACCCACTCGCACGGCGCTTAGATTAATGTTTGCCATCGCAGACACAAAGGATATTTGATAAATGATCCCGGCCATTATGTTTTCCCTCATCTAGGCGCTCAACATGTGTAAGTACATTTGTACGAGTCAAAGCGTATGAGTGTCCTTTTTTACGGCCAGCATTCAGAGATCAGTCTTTAAGTGTTCAAGAATCGTGAGGCAGCTCTATATTGACGTACCACTTAAAGTACTACAGTAAGTCAAGGAAATGTAAAAAATTCCATGTATAAAATCGAAGCAAAAATTTTATTTTTATTTTATCAAATTAAAACTAGTATACAATTAAATTTTTAATGAAAAAATGGCACTGAATCTGACGAAAAATATTTATTTTCCTTAAAAAACCAACCCTTAGAGTTTTTCATTTATATTATTCACATTAAACCACGTTTCTTGCTTCTCAGTACTCAACAATTTGGTAAATTTAGAGGTAAAACTATTTGTTTATTACAAATATTACTCTAAGCATAGAAAATTGCTTTCTATTTCCAAAGAAATTCGCACTTTGGTAAAGGAAACTTTTGATTTATTGAAAATTTGAAATGTGAAATAATAAATCCCAGTTTTACAGTTATAAATTGCATTCCAATTTTAAAGAAATTCCAACTACAAAAGTTCAGAGTTGAACTGTGAAGTTCAGAGCATTCCAAGAACAAAGTTTCGATGAGGTTTGTTTGCCAAAACTGGGTTGGCCCTCAATTTGGCTTAGGAAACTTGGACTTGCAGCGCTACAAAGATATTTGTTTTCATTTTCCAGCTTGCGAACACACACCCGAAATTAATTGCTATTGGCCCGGCAAGTAATTGGCATTTGGCAATGCAGGTGTCCATGTCCTGGCCCCCTGACCGCATGTCCTTTTCAGGCAAATCGAGCGGCACGCACATGTCCGATGGTCGGTGTCAAAGTGCCTGGCCAAACAAACGACAGGCCCAGCAGGCCGGGTATAGTTTAAATATCCTCTACAAGAGGACTCTCCCCTCTCAACTGTCATAACAGAACGCACAAAACGTCATATTAAAGTAATTAAGTGGCATAACAACTTTGGGGCATGCATAGACGACACAGGACTCGGGACTCAGGTCCTGTGTGCTGGCAAATTGCCTTATTGACTCATTAGCCCGCTTTTGAGCGTCATTAGGCAGGACATTGCGGCCAGGATGGCCGAGAGGAATTTAATAATAAAAACATCCTAGCGGAGAAGGAGGGTCGTCAATTTGCATGGTAATGGCGAGGGGACATTTCTGCCCGACCGAGATTGTACGCATAATCTTAACGAATGATTTAATTCTGCGGGTTTTTCGCCCAGTTTCTGGCGCTGGCAGGCCGTCGTCCTTTTGTGATGATTATCTGGACCTTTGGCCGGGTCCTGGTTATATCCTGCTTATCAAGAAGGGACATGGCCAAATGAGCAGCAAGGACCTGCCACTAAAGAAATCTTCGACTTCAGTTTAGGGCATTTGTTTGAACCAATTACTCCCATTTCACCATGGTTTCGTTTTTGGTTCACTTCCAGTTTGAGGACTTTTCGTTCCATTTCTCAATTGCCTCTACAAGTAAATAAATGAACGTCAATGCGCTCTTCAAAGCTTCCGATTTTTATTAACCATTATTGCATTTTTTTCGACTTCACATTTTTTCAACAAAATGTTTCCGACGAGATATCTACTCTTTTTTTCTGACATATTCATATAATAAATGAAATTTTGTACACATTGAACACAATGGTAAGCAAATACCATTTCACATGCATTTCATTTGCATTTATTTTGGAGGTATTTAAAAAATACAATCACCAGTATAGGCAAAAAATGTTAATAAAGTTGGCAAATAGCTTCCCAAATGAATTTAATTTTATTATATTTGCTGAAAAAGTGGCTCATCAATATTTGATTCCTCTTCAAGGCAATCTGTTTTAATATAACAGAACTATAATGCCACATAAATAGTTTAATATAAATCTGCATAAATAAGATACTTTTTTAAGGAGCTACCCTTCGGCGATAGTTAAATTTTAACCTTAAATTAATAAACTTTTGACCTTTTTGGCGTATGCAAACAGCTTTGACACTGTCAAAAGGTCGTAAACTCCGCGTTCCTCACTTGTTGGCGCCACCCAGTTGATTGTGCAAAGGCCACTTAACGAGTGAAACGCTGCAATGCCTCGTTGAATTTTTCACACTGCCAGGAATTCAGGAGTTTTTGCTGCCATTTAGCGCACATTGCACAACTCGGTTGTAACTGCCTGTATAAAGCCGGCAGAGAATCCTTGAAGCTTAGCATTTGAATGGCTACAACTACAACAGTTTTAGTCCTTCCAACTGTTTTGAGAGTCCCACGGCCCTAACCCCTTTTATTTAACCGGAAAGCTGGCTTTAAAGGCATTCAGGAATCGCTTTATTCCATCGCTTAGATCCCGGAAAATTGCTGCTGCTAATGGCTATTTATTATCGAATATTTGCGCAACTAATGCTGACCGAAAACAGGAATCCGGTTTGCTTTGTTGAACACACACCCGAGTTAAGAAGGTTCGATGGGAGGATTAAGGAATTGGTATACCCTGGATTTCTCACAGGATGCTATCCCACCCAAAAAGGTTAGGTTAAGGTAGGTTTTGGCCACCAAAAGAAAAACCGGCAATTCAAAGGCACGCAAAGTCAACAGTTTTTAAAACCGCAAATGTGGAAGGAGAGCAGGAAAATTCGTCCATGAATGAAAGTGAAGGGAGGCCATAAAAAGGCCAAAAGAAGTCGCCCGGAGAGTATCAATAAAGGCCGTGTAAGCCGCCAGCCAAAGCAAACGAAGGCGAAAGGTCAATGTTAAAAGTGCCAGGCCACAATAAAAAGAAACAGTCGCCGCAGCCGCCAAAAAAAAAAAAACAAAAATGCCGCAAAAATGGGAAAAACTGAAGAAAAGCTGAGGGCGCAAAGGCCAACGATGCGTGCACATAAAAGGGCAACGTCAATACGCACAAATATACATTGTAGATTGCTTGTAAATATATTTATAACTATAAAGTGGGTGGGTTGGAATTTAAGGAACCGAACATAAAGTACCTTAAACTACAAATAGCTTCGAAAACAAATACACAAAAAAGAAACGCCGGGATCAAAAAGATATGAGTATGGTACATTTTTGGTTTCCGATTTCTCTCTCTCGGAAATTCTCATGTTGCTTATATTTCGAGCATGTAAAGTCAAAATTAATATTACATAATATTAAATCGATCATCGTTTCATATCAATTTTTTTTGGGTGTAACAAGAGCTTTTATTCCATATCATGATTTTTATTAATTTTGTAACAAACATACCAAAGTCAAGTTTTCTCTTTAAACCCGAACTACCCATCATCATCATAAAACCTACGCGGTACTTTGTAATTTCTGAGACAGCTCGTAAAAGTCGCTGAAAAACTCTAAAGTATCCGGAAGGATATCGCGACCGCGGTGCTGGGAATTTGAATACAAACGCAGCGCGTCACTTGTAAACTTTAAGCTATTTATTTAATTTTTTTAAAGGCCGCAATTTGCGTTTAAAGGCATCAGTGGAAAACCGCCAGAAGCGTCGCCGTCGAGGGAATTCAGAGAGACAAAGGAGACATTGTTTTTCCAGGGAATCAATTACATCCTCAGTGCGCCCAAGGAACTCATCTTTCTCGTTTCCTCGTCTCGTCCCTTCCCCAGGCCTCTATTTTCAGTCTCTATCGACTTGCCACTGGCTGCAAGCGATTTTTTTGATTAGCTTCCGCCCACACAGAATTCTGGAGGCTGAAGCCATCGCCATTCGAAGGGGACTAATGCATAAGGCAGGCAGCAAAAGGAGCAGCAGGTAATAAAATAATAAAATTCTGTTTTGATTTCTGCCTTCCTTGCCCCATTTCTGGATTCCCCCAGTCCTGCCACAAACATTGTTCCAAATACGATGACGTACACGCGCCCAAAAATAGCAACAGCTTGCTAACAAAAATTGGGGCGAATTATAAAAATTGGGGTATATTGACTAGAGTTATCAGGTTGTCAATTAAGATATATATAAAAATATTAAACTTAATTTACCATAAATTATTTTATTTCATAAGACATATTTAAAAAATATACTTAAGATTATTTTATTAATAAAACATTTCAATAAATAAACACAACAACGCTAACAAAATATTTAAAAAATAAGAGTACTCGCCAGTCAACAGCTTTAAAGCTTTCCTTGTTTTTCCCTGCTTGTTTCAGGATTTTCCGCGTGTTATGGCAACCAGTCGGTGGAATAACAAGAAGCACATCAAACAGTATACATGGCCTCAGCTCCTGGCGTCGGCGAAACCAATGCGATGCCTCTCCATGTCGAATTCCGTATAGTATTTGCCCAGGAAGACATCGCCCAGAATCCAGAGAGGTCCACGGGGCGACGGCAGGTCCACGGCGATGAAAGCCGACGAACAGATCCTTCGATCCTTGTAGATGTCCCGAAAGACGTACTCGTGACCCTCCAAGAAAAACTTACGACCGCCCAGGGCGAAGGTGATTCTGGGCAGATTCGAGATACTTTCGCAGGGCACCAGAAATTGACCGAATTGCGAGGGCGTTCCTCCAATCGATTCATTGATCAGAATGGCCTGATCGTAGGGCAAAGCCAAGAAAGAGGTGCCCGTATCGATGATCACCTCGCAGCCCTGCTGACAAAGCTCCAGATTCCGGATGCTGGCCGACTCCATTTTTACCTGCCAATAGGCCCGATGACTCACCGGCACATAGGTGAAGTTGCCGCGGTAGTAATTAGGATTGGAGCCACCAAAGAAGATGGCACCGCCCTCCTTTTCGCCATGCCTACTCAGGTAGACACTAAAGATGGGTTTCGCAAGCAATCCCTGTTCCATCATCGCATAGAAAGGCGGCTTGATGCGCTGCATGGAGATGCTGCGATAGGCCAGGCCAAAGATGCCATCGAATTTGGCGGCCAGGAAAATGGGACCCGGCATTTCGGTGGCCTCCGCAAAGATCTGCTCCCGAATCTCCAGACCGGCCACTCGAACGGTGTCCGTTGAGAGGAATCCCGATAGGCTGCCACTGCCGTAGTGAATGGCAAAGCGATCTCCTCGCGCCTGATGGCTGGTCGATCTCTTGGCATAGTAGCGATTGTGCACCCGGCAGGCCACCATGGAGGAGGCACAGGTGGCCGAGGGCACCCAGAGATTCGAGGAGCCTGTGTCGAAGATCACCTTGAAGCTCTGCGGCGGAGTGCCAATGGTGATGGGCCCAAAGTACTGGGCATCCAGGTAGTTGCTCAGCGGCGTAGCCTTCACCTTCGCGTCCCACTCGCCGCGGAAATGGCTCACCTCCTCGGCGTACTTCAGGCGCAGCCTGTCCATTCGGATGCCCAGCTTCTCGAAGCGATGACGGGCGGAGGGAAAGCGACGCAGGGGCACGCGGTAGAGCTGCAGACTGCAACTGACCGGAAGCGGAAACAGAAAGAGCAGCGGAAGCAGGAACATCAACGGAACAAGCATCCACATAATGCCATCAAAAGCAGATGAAAATAAAATGTCAAAGCAAAGTTAAGTTGTCACGAGAATGCGGAAATCTGAGTGGAGTGGGAAGGGCAACTACCCTTCATACTTGTTGTTCAATAAACTCAGTTTTAATATTTCCAACGCATATGCCAAGCTTCCGATTTCAGATATGAAATGTTTTATCTACGGTATGAAAACTGGTGTTACCCCTTAGCCAATGTTTCATGGAAAAACTTCTTTATACTCCTTCATAATAAATATATGTTTATTTACACTCCTTCTTATACTCCTTAATAAATTTATGTTTATTATGAAGAAGTATAAAGGAACCTATACTAATCTTTTTATGTTAAAAAGATATTTTTAAAAACTTGTACACTATATACCCCAATCGAATCAAGTATCCAGCAGCATAAAAATTTCCATGAAAATGTAATTGGAAATGGCAGCCGTTTGGAATCGAGCTCAAATCGAATATGTAAGCGAAAAGCGGGAGGGAAACCTTTTCATTGCAGTATGAAAAGCGTCGAAAGGTGTCGAGCTCAAGTCGAATGGTAGTAGAGTATGAAAAAAATGAGCATGTGTAGGGTCTTCTAATTGTAGTTGTTGGCATTGAAGGGCGCTGCTCGATTGCACTTTCATTTCTACTCGTACTCTTGCCATTTGCATAAAGATGTGCTCAATTGCTTGGATACGAATGTCTATCAATATGTTTTTGCCCTTCACTGAAGCACATCGATAAAGCAAACAGCATGAATAAAGCCAGGGCTTTATTCGTCATATGCCCCACGTTGGGCGCCAATTAAAACGTCAGCCGTCTGGCTAATGCGACAATAACGAGGCCTTCAATCGGAATGAGCAGGGAATCGGGGAAGACAGAAATCCCGGAGCCCCAAAAACCTTTTTAGACGGACTCCTCTTGAAAGCCAGCTGTCAATGACAGGACACACCTGCGCTAATGGTCCGGGGAATACGACAATGCCCGGGGTTTCAGTGTCTGCTCCTTGCCATTATTTCCTCCGAGTATTTTCCCAGAAAGTCGCTGGGGGCTTGCCGGCACAATTAATTATTGCATTTTGCCGACTGGCTGAGGCTTTTGGCCTGGCCCAAAAAAAAAAGGATTGGCAAGAATGTCGCCTACCACTCACCTTTTAATTGGAGGCGACTTTTTTTTTGGCCCCAGGGCAAATAAAATTATCGGGCAAATTCAAATTGCATTAAATGCCATTAGGCAAAAAGCATGGCGAGTTAAGCAGGCCCTCATTGAATTAGGCAAACACAATTAAAGTTAAGGAAGAGGCAAACTTTGAGTTTGTCATTCCGGGGCTGTCACAAAAAATCAGTCAGTGGGACAGAGTTGAAGTCAAAAGTCATGTTGGTGACAGGAAATGGAGAGTGGAGGGGAAAAGCTGTCACCGAGTGTCAGGAGCCAAAAGAAAACTTGTGTGTGGCAACACTTGTTGATTTTTGCCGAAAAAGAAACGAAAAGTTTGTCGGTTTTTTCCTCTTCTTTTCGACCTGTGTCCACTACCACAAGGAAAAAGGTAAAACTCTGTCTCAAATTGGAAAGCGGAAATTGCAGGGAGCACATTTTGTATTCTTTGATGCTTATAAATTAGGTTTGGAGTCCCCGGAAAACCCGAAAAGGCAGAGGGGAAAACAGCTCCCTCCTGGCTAATACGAAAGAGATAGAGTTCTTCTGCTGGTAATATACAAAAGGGAATGGTTGGGGATGGCGAAACCCACGAAACCCACAGCTGGGCAAAAGTTTTTGCCAAGAACTGCAGGCCAAGTCGATGATTCAAGGCATGTGGTCTTGGCTTGCCGCTTTTCCACTTGCCAAAAAAACCAATTATAACGTGAAACTTTGCTTCAGTTCTCTATCTATATTTTAGCCACATGGAAAAAAGGGTCTAACTCTTTAAACGGCAGACCGAGAAACAACCAAAAAATATTTAATATATACAGGACGCTGACTTGTTGCCGTTTTAAATTATTTATGGGCCAATTAGTGGGGTCGAAAGGAACCGAAAAACAGGGCAGACTCCCGAGTTTGGGTATCCACATTATTGATTTGTTTTGCATTTTGCACAGACAGCCGCAGAAACTTTCCCTTAAAACCTTAACCCTAACCGAGTTGTTGGCCCAGAGCGCTGAAATATGAATCCTTATTCACTCGGCGTGTGTTTTGTGTGAACAGGAAGACTCGAACATATACACTCCGGCATGCATTTCTACATTTCTGCATTGCAAATGTCAATGGAGCAGCTGGAATATGGAAATAAATTGCCAATGCCACGAGACGACTCGGAATAGTGCGGGGAAATTGAAAAGTTTCCGCCACCGGAGGTGTTACATTTCTCCGAGGATTACGGTCTGAAAGGATAATGCTGTGCAATTTATGAACGACCGCGCGATGATGAATAAGAGGCTAAGTGGAAAATGGCCTTAAGCGCTGCTCTTAACTCATTAACACGTTGATTTTCGCTCTTTAACTATGCGGTCGTCAGCGGAGAAATTAAGCCGTTTTAAAGCCGGGTAAATTGCTTTGCCAGCGGCATTGATTGATATCCTTTCGCCGCTGTGGAAGCAATCAATTAAGCGAACAACGATGTCAAACACTTTGCACTCGGTTTTGATTGATTTTCTTGGCTGCAATAAAAATCTGGAATTTCCCATTTATTCTTAGGTATTTATTGCAGTCGGGATCAGAAATTAGTATATAATATATTGGAGTAGCACTACTCTCTATGGCGACTGTAGGTGACGGGCTCAACTTCGCCTGGCAGCTGGACAGCAGCAATTCGATTTGCATAAAGAATGTTACCCAGTTGCGATGACAGGCAGTGGAAATTGTTTATAAACCGTCAGGAGCAGCAGGATTGAGCAAGTTCTCTCTGCCATCCCCGTTGACAGCTTTAAGTTCCGGTTTTCCCCATCCCCATTCCCTTCACCACAAGTTCAAAGTTTCCCCCGAACAATGATGGAATTGTTTAAGCCAAAGCAAGAGCAAATATTTAATTAGCCCTGGGTCCTCGGGGCAGAGAAGCACTAAGCAGATGAGCAGAGGAGACACACATCCTGCGGCCGAATTTTTCCGGCAACCACAGGCATTCGAGCGTGAGGCACGTCAGATGAAATACACTTTATGGCCAAGGACTTCGGTGGAATTCCCATGTAAGCCGCCATCTAGGCGCTAACTTTGCCCCTATTCATAATACATCGGCACATAATTAAGGGGATTTTTCGGAAAAGGCACAAGCTACACATAAATCACATACAACCTGAATGAGCATCTCGTTCTATGGGCACTGTTTTAATTACTCACGAAAGTTGGTTTTTCTACGCGAAATGTAATATTTATTTCAGACTCTTTTTATGAGCTTTGTCGGCAGATTCACACATTTATACAGAACACTTTGGTACCCCAAAAGAGTTTTGGAACTATTAAAAGTTTTCTATAAATATTAAATTGAATACTTTTTCAACTTTAATATTTTTTAGATGTTTTTGGTTTGGTTTAAATATTATATTAAGTAATCTTTTGAATTTTAAGATTGCTTTTGAATAGACCCCTGTTTTTCCCGATTTCTTCCAGTGAAAAATCAATACAGTGTCATTTTTACGGACCTCGCTACCAGAAACCTGTGTTTTCCTGTTATTTACCACCTGCACTACATTTAAATGCTTTTTATAGGGCCGCCTGCCCTTTGACCTGATGTCTGAGTCTTAAATGCCCCGCCTCTTGAGCGTTGAGAATGGCGTTAATTAAAGCAGCTGCCGAACTGGAACCCGAGCCCGAACCAGAACCCTTTGAAAAAGATTTCATGTATAGTGGCCGCCTAAGCGACTTATAATTGAGTTCCGTTTGCCGCGCTGCTGAAGTTGCCATTTTATGCGCACAATTTGGTTAATTAAAATGCTACAATTGCGTTGGCATTTTTGTGGCGCCTCGTTTGAGTGCCAGCCGCCGCCATTCGCCCCTCTTATCTGGGTCCTTCAGGTGCTGCTGGTGGCAAGTGTCCTTGTCGCTGGTTGGCAGGCGAAGGATCTTCAAGGCGACAGGCGGCACACGACGCATATGTATACTGGAATGTTGAGGGAAGTTCGAAAGTTGAGCGGGGGCATTGAAGTTAAGGACCTGCCACACATTGATGTGATTCCATTTGCGACTTTGCCGCACTTTAAACACAAGTTTCGCCACCAGTTTGTTTGTTTGGCTGTGTTTTCTTGCACTTGATTCTCTTTAACTTTCTGTATAGTGGCACTTTGGGCATTTCAATTAGGCTAAGCACGGAAACACGGCTGCCACAATCGCCACTTCCGGCGGATATATAAAACCACGGAGCACGAAAAGCGGGCGAAATAAAGAAAGAAATCTCTGCATATCAGATGAAGAGCAGAACAAACGCTTCGTACATATTTCGAGCACATTAAACATTTATTTTTATTTTATTTCATCCTATTTTGTTTCTCTTTCGACATGCATCTCTGCAAACGGAGCAGCAGTTGGAGTGGAATATTTACATTTGTATTCAGCTTGGAATTCTTTTTTTGTCTGGACGTTGCTTTTGTCTGCTCTTTGCTCTAGTATTTCTATACCCTGTGATTTTTTGAAGTAATGTGGTATGTAACAAAAGGAAATAAGCAAACGCGGATCCTCGGGGGAAATGTGGTATTTAGAAAGTGCGCAAAATAATGTTTTTCTTGATTCGACACCGGCTTAAATAATACAATCTACCTATCTCCCACATAGACACTATTAATTTAATCGTTTTCACATTTTCTCAGGTGAATGGCTCAGATTGTGATTAAAAGATTTAATCGAAGAAGGGCCCAAATGGATTTGTACTCACACTCCTAAATTTCAGCAGCATCTGAGGGTAGAGTAATTGGAACAGTGTATTCTGAAAGCACTGATTCGAAACAGCATTGTGTAAAATTAATTATACACTTATCGTCACCCAGTAGTCGACGATATCATGCACGTTGCAGGCTGCATATTACATCTATTCCTTTGTCCTGCAGTTCATTAGACTGGTTGAGGGGGATGTAATGAAGACCCAAAAGGCCAAACTAGATAATTTTATCTAAAGCTTCCAATCTGCCTACGAAGAATTTACACAATGGATTATGTTGTAAACTATTGAGTTCTCTTGAGCTGATTTTGCTTAATCAAACTACTCATGTGGTAATTATCCAATTAAAACTTACTAATTTGCTTTCCAGAAATATGAGTAGTTAAGTTCAAGCTAAGGATATTTCACAATGGGTATTTAAAAGTCTGACCTAAAAGCACAACCGTTACGGTTTCTAGTTTTTATCTGTACTTGCATGGCCGCTCCTCATGCAACATTTATGAGCATTTTGGGGCACAACTGGCAGTAGTTTCTATGAATTTTAAGAACGCCGAAATGTGTGCACCGTTTTCAGCTTAATATTTCCATGGGATGGCTAAGTGCAGAAGCCATTTGGATGCTAAGTTTCCCAGAAGTTGACCTTTAAAGCAATTGAGCTGATGGAGCAGAGGAGGGAAACCTTTTTCCCAACTTGGGTCAATTAACTCATTAAACTTTGCTATGTTTTGCCTCGCTCAGGACCAATTAGCGAACAATTAGGCCGTCTATGGGCTGATTTTTCACCAGCCACCAAAAATTCTATAAATTATAAATGTAATTGAGCGAAATTAAAAGGTGTGAGAAAGGGCTGCTATTAAATGGAACTCTATTAAACAGCTAAAAGCTTGATGGAATATTTAGAGCCATATTCAGAATCCATGAAAAACCGTGAGAATATTTCCTTTATCCTGTCAGCTTCATAAAATGTTGGTTTTGATGGAATGTTTGGCCCACCAAACTTTTTGTGCGCAGATTATCGTAAAAGATTTTGAGTTCCGTGCCGCTGTATTGTTGGCTTGCCAAACTGTTGCATACTTTTAGAAAAGTTGTGAAGAGCGGAACATGTGTTTGCCGTGTCAACTTTTGCCCTCAACTTTTTCCATATTTCTAGCCGAAACAGCTACATACATAACAGCCAAGAAGATATTTCCCGGAATTTTTAAAGAATACACATCAAAGGACACGAAGAAAATCCCAAACCCAGCCACACAATGAATTCACCCCACAAAGAAAAACGCCAATCGAGTACACCGAAGTAAATAGACCATTTATTTAGATGCTCAGATTTCGTGTTCATACAGAGAATTAATCCATTTGCACATTGAGTTACATTCAACAGCTACAGAGTACATAGCACGGGTTTTTCCTATGGTTTGGGTTTGTGGGGCTCTCAGCAGTTCACATAGACGACATCAAACAGTTTAAAACGATTGACCTAACTTAAGTTGCTTTCCTTGCCTTTTCTGCTTGGTACTTGGTTTCGTTCTTTCATCGCACTCCTGCCTAAAATACAGTACTAGCTAACTAATCGCACTCGCAGATCTCGATCTCGATCTGCGACACGGAAGTGGAATTCAATGAAAGTTCAGTCTCTTAAGATGCAGTTGCTAGGGATTTGTCTAGACCGAGTTCTCCTCGAGTCCTTGCTGGAAATGGAATTGGAATTGCAATGGGAAATTCACAATGATTAGTGGACTGATTCTCACCCTCATCAGGGGACTAATGGCCCGGGGCATTACGCTCAGAGTGCTGCCGGAACTCATGGCATTCGGCGCCAGAGTGGGCATCGTGTGCAGGGCATTGTTGGATCCGCGGTGGAGCGACAGTGGTGCATGCTGACCCACCAGCGTGGTGGTGGTGGCCGAACTCACGCAGGACTCCCGCTTTCCGCGTCCATAGTAGCTGGTCAAGGGTCTGCAAGGGGGGTTTGTGGGGTCAACAAATCCCATCACTTCTTACACAGTATTATCAAATATCTTACCGCATGCTCTCGGCTCGAGGGGAACCACCGCCCTTCGTGAAACTTTTCGTCGTGTAACTGCCAGGATTGCAAAGAGAAAACAAATTTTCAATGTATCCACAGTCAAAAATAAAAGTTTTGTTTAGGAGTAAAAGCATTATATTCATATGCATAAAAATATGAAATTCTTGAAATTTAATACTATGTAGTGACGATTGCACCTTTAACGTACAAAAGATCTAATATCAACATTTGTGACGAAAAATTATAATTCATGCGATTAAATATACATTTTCTAAAATTTGCTCATTCCCTTGCCTTAGCAAACTATCCCTGACCGCATAGTGGCTTGAAATACTGCTATAGGCGTATGGGATTTAGTTTAAACTAAATAGAAAAAGGCATCTTTAAGTCTAGTTTGTCCTCTAAAAAGATCTAGGAGGATGGTCGTTTATTTTATACAGTTATTGTTCAATGAATAGCTGTGCTAATTTCTCTTCGATCCAAGGCATAAACATAACTACATTTGTGTAGACTGTTGGATAATTGGCGACACAGGGTAAGGGTCTCCAGGAGACAATGCCCAGCTGGATGGCTTCGGCTTCGGAGTCGGTTACCAATGGGCCGCCACTGTCTCCATAGCAAGCTCCATCGGGTTGTCCGGGGGTTTCAGAGCAGACATTAGTCTCGTGCAATGGTGCGTTATAAGGCACAATATTCTTGCATTCATTCCATTGAACGACGATAGTTTCTACTGTCTGCAGTTTCGTGGCCGGCAATCCAAAGTTGTTCAGACCCCAACCGTAGATTTTTGCATTTCCATTGACTTCGGTATTCACAGAAGGAAGATTCACTATACCCACCGGGTTGCTGCCATCCCGGGCTACGGCATTCAGATTGAAGGCCTGATTTACGTCCAACAGGATCAGACCAATGTCGTTGGGTCCTACGCCACCGTTGTAATCTTCATGGATCACGTACTGGGCGTTAGTGAACTCCCGGGTCTGGACACCACGCCGGTCGAGGAGGTTGTGGGCACCGCAAACGGCTTTACCTCTAGTGCGAGTCAGACAATGACCGGCGGTCAAAATGGCCCTTTTGTTAATCAGAGTTCCTCCACAGAAATGTAAGTTGAGTACGTTCTGCAAGGATACCATATAGGGCGCCTCTCCCTTTTCCGCATCATGACCGTTGATTATGCGACCCTCAGGGAATCCCCACTGGGGGATCGAATTGGCCGATACTGAGGCCAGAGCCACTGCCAATAGAACCACGAATTGCTTCATTTTAAGTTCTCTGTTGAGTTTGCTGCACTGCCAATTCGCTCAGCGTCTTTTATAGAAGTCAGCTATCTTTTATCTGAGTTCGAACCATTCAAAGATCTTTTGCTTATCGTTATCGCTCAAGCGATTTATGATCCTGATCGTTGGTCCTGTAGATTGGTGACCTTGACTGATAAGCCCGATAATCTTTCAGCGCGTGCAATCACTTCAGATTCGCAAAAAGGTTTCCCTGCAGTCGATTTGTCTGGTTTTTGGCTTAAGTATCACCAGGAGAGTGGGCGACTACTATATATAGACGCGGAATTGAAAACCGGCTGGTGGTTCAACCTTAGCGACAGATATCGCAAAAAAATAAAGCGATTGCATGTTCTCCAAATTACAATTGGCTTGGCAGATTGAATGTATTTTCTTGATATGCATTAGAAAAATAAAATATTTTTAAAATGAATATATACTATTTCTAAATGTGGACATATTAATTAAACATTTACCACTTCCTTAGAAAAATGTATTCTTCGAAACTAAACCTTCTTCTGAGTACAAGTTTTCGTTCCCAAAGAACTGTGGACAAACTCAAAAGTTAAAACTACTTACCGTCGGTTCTGGTTCAGCTGGATGTTTCGGGTGTCCCGCCACGTGGAAATGTGGTGTCTGAGAGCATTTCGCACCTCCGAGTTGAGGAAACAGTAGAACAGCGACACCGAGAAGCCCTGTGACACACACACACATTCCCTTAGATAAACAGAAGTTCTGGCTCTGGCAGACAAAACCCACCTGAGTGCTGAGCAAAACCGCTCGCAGTACAGCAAACATGTGACCCATTACGCCGGACTCCGATGGACCGGCCAAAACCACCAGGTAGGTAATTCCGAAAAGGGGGATGAGCACAAGCAGAGCCTTGGCCGCTTTCCGATACTGACGAGTCTCCACTGTATTGGCCGAGCGCAGCTTTGTGATAAGAACCTGAAAGAGCAGCAACCCGATAATCTGGCTCACTATTTTTGACAATTTACACTTGGAAAAAGAATGCATTTTAAAAGCTCTTAGCTCGAAAAACAAGTAATACAAAATAAGAATGATACATTATATACCATCTGAGAAATTAGAACCTAAAAAAAAGCCAGCCTGATAATCTTACAAAAATAAAAATCAAAATCAAAAACCCTTCTATATCTACATTTTTTTCTGTGTAAAATCCATACGCACCCACATGATGCGCAGCAGGAAGGTGAGATTGATGATTAGCACCGCACAGACGGGTCCCTGGTAAATCCAATCCACGTGGGTCTCCTGCATCCAGGGGCAGTTGATTTCGTACTGTCAGAAAAGGAAGCAGAAAGAAGAGTAGAGTCTCCGGGGGTAATCCCCAAAAGCAAATCCCCGAGCAGTCTTACCTTTTCGGGGGCGTCGTAGGTGACCGTCAGACTCTTGGCCACCGCCCAGGTGACAACAAACAAGGCAGGACCACCTGTCATCAGAAGTTGGGGGGCATTCTTAATTGGCTGGCAAACTTCCAGGCATCCAAGCACTTACCCCAACCTATGGAGGCGTAGATATTGAATCGCAGATTGTCCCCCGAGAAGGTCTTGACCACCAGCATGTACAGATACAATCCCTCGACCAGCATCCAAAAGAAGTTCGTCAGGGTGAAGAAGTGGAAGAGGGTTATCAATGCAATGCAGCTGCCCACTCCACTGCGGATGGATATCTAAAGATTACAAGATAACCTCTCTTGAATTACAACCATTTTTAGCCTGTCAGCAATGCCCGCAAATAGCTTGGACCTTTCAAACTCAAGTATGATTTAATAAGACAATTAAATTGCAATTGCAATTATACCGCCGACATAATAAGCACTCACCTGGACGGACAGCAGGAGTATCCAGAACAAAGCCGACATGATGTACGTGAAGAACAAGTTGGCGTGAATGGTGTTGCGCAGGCAACGCAGCTCCCTGCGGCACAAAGGGCAAAGGACAAAGGACGGGGGGCAGTAGGGGGTTAAGCAAAAATAGAGGCCAGCAAAAGGGGGGGACTCACTTGAAGTAGGCGAAAACAATCAGCGCCAGCGAGAGCGATACCAGACTCAGGGTATAGCCAATGTAGTAGATAATGGTGGGCAGCTCCACGATGACCTCGAACTCCGGCACCGATTCGGGGGCGGGGAGGTGGGCGCAGGCATCGTAGTTTGTGTACTTCTCCCAGGTCCCATTGGCGTGGCAGAACCTCGTTGCATTCTCTGGGAAAATTCGAAGGGGATGTTTTGAACCTCTAATGCAAATTAGATATCGGATTATATTTATATTACAATCCCAATGATCTTTACAATCATGTTTAAAAATGTAAAAAAATTAAAATTTATTTTATCTTTAATTAAATTTTAATTTTGATGAGTAATTTATCTTAAATTGAAGTTCGCTTAGACTCTAAGTAAAATGTTAGATTTCTGCATACAATCCAATTTCTAATAATGACCTTTTAAATTACACAGTTCAAAGGCTTCGTTATTAAATTTCCTAGTGTATAAGTACACAGGACAAAGCGCAATTTCTAGGGGTACTCGGTTCACTTGCACTTACTGCTGCTATCGTAATGAATCCCCTGCAGCTCGTCCATGCACTGGAGCACCGCCAAGGTTCCTCGGGCTGTCCTCGGCCAGCACAGGATGGAGTCGAACTGGGTGAGGCAGTGGTCACTGGCATTGCCATAGGTCGAGGCTTCGATGTGCTCCTGCACCAGACACTGCAGCTCCACGCTCTCGCCGATGCCATCTAGGTTGTGCAGCTCCAGGAGCGGATTACTCCCGCTGGCATTCACCGAATCGATGTGGTCGTGGTCACTCATTCTACCACATCCTGGTATTCAGCACTTCGGTTACTAAAAGGGGTTAGTTAAAAGTTAAATTTCAAAAAAATACCATTAAATTGCTATTTAAAACAATGTTTCGAATTTTGAAGAAATATATTTCTATACCATTTAAGACTAAAGTATATCTATAAATTATTAACTTCCATGTTAAATTTATTACTTGGTTTTCCTTTGAAATAAATTTATTCTTCAATATTACAGACTTATTTATATTAAACCTTAACTTAACCCAAGGTTAAACTTATAAATTGTAGTAAATATTTAATTGTGGGATACAGAAATAACTTCCCAGATAAGATATGATTTCCTGGCCATTTCCCTTCGAATTGACAATGCTCAGACCACTCCCTTTCCGAATTCGTTCAATCAGAAAGTTATAATTCCCTCAATTGTTAGGGGATTCCCCGGTTGGCGGTTGGCTGAAACCAAGCTGTCGGGCAAAGTTCAATTGGCAACCCTTCTGCCTTCTTCCTTCTGGCGCCGCAGCCTGTGGCTTTTGGCCTGTGTGTGTTAATTGCATTGGCCATGTTTCACCGACTCCGCTCGGCCACGCCCACATCGTGGCTGGCTTAAAGGCCATAAATTCAGTAAGAAGCGTTGGCTTTAAGGCGGAGACCATTCGGAGGGAAAACAGGGCGGCCAGATAAGTAAATGCACACGGCCCAGTGCCATAAAAATTCATTAGTTTTGCCATCAAAGGCGGACAGAAGCGTCAGCAGATCAGAGGAATGGCAGCCTTTCGCCCTGTTTTTCGGCTCTACTGATATGGGGGCCATAAAAAGCAAGTCAAAGGGCCCCAGAGTCAAGGTTGATGGTGATAGAAATTAGAAACGCTAACTTCCTGCCAAATATTGTGGGTTGGTCTGCCCTGTTTGGGGTTTCCTTCGCCTCCGAGACGAAATCTCGCATTTATGTTCTGATAATAAATGGCATAAATGATGCATCGTTATGTTAATGCACGACATAAAACTGGGCGGGAAATAAGACACACACACATCGTGTATTAAATATGTAGGCCTAGAAAAGCTATCAGGCTTGCTGTAAAATCAAAAGCGGAAGTGGTTAGCACTTTGGGAAAATTTTAAGCCAACCGGAAACCGCATAATTCCCAGGGGAAATGCCAAGGAATTTAAGTCTATTTCAGCTGAAAATGCTTAGCTTTTAAGTGCCGTCCAACCCGAGCCAATTACTTTCTGTGGAATTTCCGATTTACTCGGACAAGAGCACATTCCCCAGGCGATTTTCTAATTGGCACAGGAATTTTCCCAGCCACAGCCCATGAAATATTAAACCCGCAGGCAAATTGAAAATTCCGCCCAGGGTGCTCTACTTTTGGCTCCCACTGTGGCTGAGTCTGTGCCTTCGCATTTGCCCGGTCCATTGTGGCTCCTTTGTTGTTTTTCTCGTAAATTAACGCAATGCATGTACATAAAACAAAAGGCTGGCTGATTATTACTGCACGGCACATGCCTGCACGTCTTTTCCGGAGTTTCAGCCAAGGTCCTGGGTCCTGGGTCCTGGTTCATTAGCCGCCTGGTTACTTATAACACATACGCCCCGTTGCCTCTGCTTTTTCCCAGCTTTCCCAGATGAGTTAAGACAGCAATATATACAGACCGCAATTTTAAGTTGAAAACACATTTTGAGAAGGGAAAAAATGGAAGAGGAGCTCGCCTCTAATTACCTCATAAATAACGTGGCGAAATTAGCAGGCCTAAATTACGGCCATAACATCTAACTAATTGCATATTTGATTTCAATTCATTTGGGGCGACAAAGAACCCAAAACCCAGAGACACACATTTCAAATCAGCGACTGGATGCAAATTCATTCTGACAGCTCGCATGGACAAATCTCATTTATGACCAGACAATTTGACGAATGTCCGACCGGCGGGAAAGCGGAAAAGCGGATAAGGGGGGAAAAACAAATTCAGCTTGGTCGAATCAACGGCGGCATAAAAAGGACATTACCACAAATAACCGAAGGCATAAGAAATGCTCCGAGATGGACAAATCGCACATCGTTCCTTCTGCTCCTCTGCCCGCTTTGCTCATCCTATTATAGAAGATTGTATCTAATCTCGTACGATTGCACACAATGGATTTGCCAAAGGCGACACAAGCGAAAAAAAAAGATAAACTAGGGGATTGCTGGGGGGATTGCTTGTGGGTTCTTTGCCTTTCTTTTCTCGCCCATGTGAGAGTTTCTGCAATTTCCGGCTGCTATAATGCTTATAAATGTTTGCTCGCAATTGCCGGGGATTTCTTTGGGGGATTGAAAATATAATAACGCTGCAAATAGTGGCAAGCGTTCGCACTTTCCGCATTTAGCCGATAAAAAGTATGCAGACAAAAAATTAAATTCCATTAAAGGCTGCCTTTTTTACCTCTCATTGCATCGGCAGACATCGGAGGGAAGTGCTATTTTCGGATCTCATTAATGTAGCTCATTAAATTGTATATGCAAAAGCCCGACAGAGAGGACGTGGCAGAAAAAAGCAGGCATTTAAAATTTATAAACATGCCACACAAGAGACCAGCAGCACAAGCACATTACGTATACGCCGCATGGACAAAGGAAATGCTGGCAGAAGCGTATAGAAAGTTTGTAATTAAATTGCTCATTTGGGCGTGGAAACAATGTATTCGATAGGGAATACGGAGGGAAATGTTCTTAAGGCTTATATATAATATTCAGCATACTGCGTACAGTGGAAATATATGGCTAATTCTATTCATTCTCCTTGAGGGGCGGTTAAATTTTATTGTTCGGCACTTTCTCAGCGAGAACTTTCCCCCGAAAGGCCGATAAGGAAAAGCCAGTCTAGACAAGCCAACATCATAATTTGCAGGCACGCACTGCCATTTCCATTTCCGTTTCCGCCTCTGCTGGCCACTTGGAAAGCTTAAGTCAGCACATATCCTTTGGCAGGAGGATAAGGATGTTTTAAGGATGGGGCAGATACTCCAGCGCTTGCCAACAAGTGTTGCGTTTTATTGTCTGGCCTTTAACGGCTCTCCATTGTGTGCGGCACGTGTGCAGGCGACTTGCAGTTCGGGAGCTACGTGAGGGATCTCCCATCCCGAGGATAGTCCCGGCATAAGCCCATAAAAATTCAGCCACAAAAGGAGCGAACCTGGGCTACCAAATCTGTTATTTATTGGTCCAATAAAAATTTTGGTTTAATGCATTACAAGTTGCCGAAATGCCAGAGATTTACTCGCAGCCCGCAGCGGAAGTCCATAAAGCTGAGGGCAACAAGTCGTTCTTCCTGGTTATCAGTTGGTTTATTAGAGTGCCTGAAGGGATGGGGGATTGCTGATTGTGGATTTCTGTTTGGAATTTTCCAATCGATACTGCAAACACGCAAAACAAAGCCTCTGCTGCCCCCCAAAAACCCACTTTCAGCCGCAGAATTTTCGCTTTTGTAAGCGATTGCATTGTTTTCAGCAGGTGGGCGCTGAAAACGTGTGTGCGTGTGTATGCACTGGCATTTTAATTAACCACAATTTGTATCCCTTTTCCCGGAATTGCCTACCTTCTGCTCAGAAACTAAGCTCGTATCCGCAGAATGGGATTTGGAATTCCTTTTGCCACTCCCTCGACTTTCAATGGATATCCTTGGTTTGCCTGGGGTTTCTTGTACGAAGGGACTTTTCAACTGACCACCGAAGCCACAAGAGGCGGGTCCTTTGTCCTCTCGGCCACTTACTTGACCCGGCTTAAATGCGTTTAACGCCTTCTAAGCTGCGAAATGATTATGTTTAAGCTGTTTTCGCCGGAGTGGGCGTTTATTTCTAGTTGCCTTGGTTATTGGACACACGCCCACACACACTGGGCCGAAACTTTATTGTGTTCACATTTATATGCAGGATTATTTGTTATAGCGACACTTGAACCCATACGAAACTTGCTGTTGGCCATTGACTTTGTGAAGTATTTCGGAATAAATGTGTTATTCATTTCGTTGATATTTTATTTTTTCTCATAGCTCATTTTTTGAAAAACTATAGTTTCCACTCTAACGGTTTTGAATAGTCCACTGGTTAACCGCAATTTTCGAAATTCCGAAACGAACCGCACTCGTTCACATCCCGCTGATAACTGAAGGCAAAGCCGAAGGATGTGTCTTAACAAGGCGAGGCTGGTTCTTACCAAAAGGCGCCAATTTTGGGATCCACAAGGGGCAGAGCTTTAAAAGCTGCATTCCACAAGCTGTTGCCAAAGCTTTTCGCCGGGCAACAGGTGGAAAATCCAGGGGATTGGGGGTGGCGAAAGGACCTCCTCAAACAGAAAACGATTCGATTGCAGTTCTAATGCCTGAAAATCTGCCTATTTGATTTATGCAAATATGTGCTGGGGCCCCCATTTTTGTTTGCCCAGCATTTCGCTGGCTCTGTTTGTTTAGGGCCAAAGCAGGAAAAGGGATACGATACTCCGTTTTCGGTAGATACAAATACAGGATATATAGAGAAACTCCATGCAGGTCCTTTGAAGTCGCAGGCTGATTTAATTGTGAGTTCCGAAATGCGTACGAAACACCTCTCACGTGGGCCTAATCAAATTAAACTCAAGTGGCTCGGCAGCCCCACGGGACTGACAGTTATTGAAATATCAATATGGTAAGCGAGGCCCTTTGGGCTCCAAATGGTTCCCGGAAAATGCCTGAAATTAAATTGTAGAGAAAACAAAGGCAACATTTTTATTTACAGGCATTCTTTTTGCGTCTGCTAAATTTTATATTACAATGATAAACATTTAGACGGATCTTCCGTTCCGGCTGCTGTGGGCCATGGAATGCGTGTGACACATGAGGGTTGGTTGGGTGGATGGGTAGCTGGGTGGGGGACTTGACATAAAGTCTAGGGGGTGGCGACATCCTTATCCAAACTGTTTGATTTTCAAACAAATGCTAATGTCAACTGCCACTCAGGAGCATTTAAATTCCAATTTAAAAATGCTTTCTCTCCATGCCAAAAGCAAAGACATGTTCGTTGTCCTGAATCGTGTTCCTCTTCCACTTTCTCCGTTTCTCCTCTTCTCTGTGTATCTCTTCTGGCCCCGATTCTCCAGTTCTCCAGTTCTCAGCATTAAAGCCTGTCCCATGCATATTTAATGTCACACGCATTTCCAGTGATTTTTTCCTCCTCTCTTGAACGTTTCCCACATTTTCCAGCTCAAAGTTTTTAATTCATTTCAGGATAACCTGGGGCATCCATTGAATGCCTCAGCTTTGTTGCAACCTTTGTTTCGTTGCGTGTATAGAAAATGGATTTTAATTAACAAGATGCTCTGGAGGAAATGGAAAAACTAAAATCAATCAGTGTGCAAAACTTCGATAAGCTAGTTTTAATTCATTAGGGATTACGTAGTGGCCTTACTTTCATTTAAATAATGTTCGCTCGCAGTATTTAAGCCCACCTTAAGCACAAAGGAACTCCGACGAAATCGTTTTATGCCCAAAAAGCCATCAGCTTAGTGGTTGGGAACATAAGGAGCAAATCACTGAGCAGAAGACACAACAAGCCCACAAAAGAAACGCAAGCACACAATTACACTGAGAAAAACGGAACCATATATTTTTTACAGGCCATTTGTATTAAAATCATGTTTCATTAATAATATTTGTGATATAAAGAAGTTTTCTTAAGTATTACAATTCCATAATTGAAATTGATTAAGTGATTTTATAATGCAGAGCAACTTTTAAGTTTTGTATTATATTTTTCCCAAGTAAATAAAATTGGAGATTTAGATTTTAAACAGTTTAATAGGAATAGCATAATAATAATCATATTTCCTGTTAAAATCTTAAATTCAGTTCATGGCCCGCTCCCAAAGTTCCCGCTTAGCCATCTCGAGGTTGCTGATCCTTTTACTGATTTTAGTTATCTCATCCTTGATGTCCTGGTTATCCGGCTGTTTATCCTTTGCTCGAATGTAGGACAGGCGGGCACGATTGTATTCCCCCAGGATGGTCAAGGCACGACCCTCCTGGTAAAGAGCCCTCCAGGGTGGCTTGTTTTCGGTCAAGAGCCGAACTTCCTTCATCGCATTGCAGGCCCACTTGGGTCTATTCATATTGTTATAGCAGATCATCAGACCTTGGAAGAGGTTAATCAGTAGATCGGTTTTTTGGCGCTCTTCCTCTGAATCCTCAACTCGACAAGTCTTCAAGGATTTTATCCCCTTCTGAAAAGAGGTCACGGCATTGTAATAACGCAACCGCTTAATCCAAATCTTGCCTTTCTTGAAAAAGTCCTTTGCCTTGGGATAGATCACATAGAACTCGTTGCCCTCCTCTACGGATAAATCGATTATCTCATCTGTGATATCTCCTAAATGTTTTGGGTCCGACATGTTCCCCGTTTGAAATATTTCTGACCGTTAACTCTGAATAATTTAAGAGACATTCCTTAAATAGGTAACTAGATTTAATAATGGAAATTTAAAAAAATTTTACTGAATATATTTTATAAATTTTAGAAAATAAGAAAAATGGTTTTTGGTGTCATGTACAATGTACTTACTTCTGTCCTTTATAGAAGTTTTATGTAACATAACATTTCATGAACTTAGCCTCTTTTTCATTACATTTCTCGCAGTGTACACATGCATGACAGCTGGTGGTGGGAGCACTCAACAATTACTTAGCTGGCATCCTGAACATCCTCAACACCTCGGTGCCATGGGGGTCTCGTCTTTCAGCATTCTCATTAATTACACGCCGCACTAATTAGGCTGTAACGGAATAGCGAAAGGATTATCCGCAGCCTCATCACCTGCAAGCCCTCGATATGAGTCACTTTAATCTCCCATCCATATTATTTTTGCCCAATTTGCGCCCATTTCTGGTATTTCCCCAATTCATGTCACGCACGAGCGCTGCTTGGAAAATAAAAAAAGAATCGAGTGGAATCGAGTCCAGATCAGTCAGTCAACCTTTGTGAGCCGCTGATGTTTGCTCTTAGCCTTCGGCAGACGCATTGAACCAACAAACAATGGCAAACGACCCGACTTCATTACAGGCCCATTAAAAACCCGACTAAATTCGGCTATATAAAGCGGCTGGCGGAGGGCTAGAAAAGTTTTATTCTTTTTGCGGCACCACCACTGAAATATTAAATATGCTAAAATCTATCATTTGTTTGGGTTTTCTGCTGCTTTTGCTGGAAGGTTCGCACGCAGCATTTAACTGCTCAGCGCCGCCGAATTTTAATAACTTCGTAAGGGCATTAAATCGAAGCAGAGGAGTTCCCCAATCAATAACAGATTTTTTCAGGACATTAACACTTGCTGCCGCACTCCGGAATTGGATATGGGTGATGTGCCGCAGAAATGCCACAAATATGTGAGTGGTTTGAAGTCGGCCAACTCCAAATATCCCAGCTTTGCTCATCTCGTAAGTAGTGAATTTATTTTTAAAGGAAGTGTAACCCTATAAGCTATGTTATTTCAGTGCTATCCTGACTGTATTTATCGGGAAACGGGAGCCATGACGAATGGAAAAATTAGAATGGAAAGGGTTAAGCAGTATTTGGAAGAGCATGTTCATCGGCGAGATCAGGATATTGTGGCCCACATAGTGCGCTCCTTCGAGTCCTGTCTGTCCAACGGTGCGTATGATTAATCATAGCTTTTATAGATTACAGAGATATTTTCCCACAGTCAAAGGCCACATGAAGTCATCGAACATCGAGTCCTACAAGGTCCTGCCCCACGGCTGCTCACCCTTTGCCGGCATAATCTATAGCTGTGTGAATGCCGAGACCTTCCTTCACTGCCCCCCGAAAATGTGGAAAAACGAGCGACCCTGCAATTTGGCCAAGGAATTCGCCGAACAATGCAACCCCCTGCCACATGTTCCGCTGCCCAGCAGCTGATTCTCCACATAGATCTTAGATTCCCGAAAAATGTAAACAATCATTTAAAGTAAAAGTTTCGCCCATTAGGTTTAATCTGTTGCCTGCCTTTTAAATGCCATCCATATCCGACCTCGGTTTTGTTGACCATTAGCCAGCAAATTGAGCATGACAACTGAGTGCGAGTACTTTCCCGTCTGCTCCCATTCGACTTTATGATCAGTCAAAGTTCGATGTTCGATTGGGCAACAGTTCTCCATTAACATTTAACCCAACATGAACCAGTTAACCTTTGTCGCCTGCCTTTTGCTTTTGTCGGGTTCTCAAGCTGCCTTCCAGGACTTTGTGATAGGACCTGAGGTAATAAAACTTAATCATTAATTACATATAACAATGGGAAATTCTTGTTAGTTCTATGAAGGCGATAAGGAAGTGGCCCCGTTTGGTCAGGAATATCCGGAGGAGGAGGATATGGATGAGGATGTAATGATCTCATTCCAGGATGTGCAACAGGAAGGTATTGTGGATACCAATCTGCTGATGAAAGCTCTAATGCAGCATGCCAAACGTTTGGGAATGAGTTTGGATGAATTGGGTAAGCAGGGAGCTATGATATATACAAGAAAAATATTAATAGAACCACTTAACAGCTAACTTAAATATGGAAAGCGAAGAAGAGGACTCTATGAACCAACTGGGCTGCCCATCCGGGCAAGATGTCTTTGGATACCAAGAAAAACCCACTTGGCGGGATGTGCTCTTTAACTAATATACTTTAGCCAAATAAATCTCATCACACAGAGTGATCAAAGCAGCTCGAAATTTTAAATTTATTTCTTCTTTTAATGGGCTAACCAGTTAGCTGACTTTCGCAACGAATGCTGTATTCCCTGGCCTCATTGCAACCGGCACTTTTGCTCCAAACACTTTCGGGACAAAAGCGGTAGAAATACCGATGGGCACAGATTCCGTACATCAAGGCCATGGAGGCACATTTTCCAGTGACGGGCATACGTCGGCGCTTCAGGGTCTTAATCATAATCTTCTCCTGATCAGCACAGCTCTTGAAACCATCCAAATAGACTTGGACGAACTCATCAATGTCCAAAATGGTTCTCATCATCTTTTCAATGTTTTCCAGTACCAAACTTGTGCCGTTCAAGGCATTGGCCGCTTGGAAAATGCACTCAAAGCTGCACTGTAAAATAAACTTAATTAATTCAGTGATCTTAAAGAGATAAATTAAACTTACAGGAGATATATGAGCCCCATTCACCAGATACTGACTGCACTTGGCATTGTAGGCTGTGAAATCCAGATTGGGCAGTTTGCAACAGTTTTTCAAGGCCTGGGAAGTAGGGATATTAGTTATCCTAACTCTAAGATCTGAATACTCACAGTTACATCCGGCCTTTGAGAGCAAATGTCCTCTGCAGCTGGAAAAGCTGGTAGAAATAACACAACCCATGTCACCAGGTGAAGCATTTCTGATTACTTCTGCTGTTGGTACAGTTCCCGTATTCCCTATATACTAAAACTTAAACCGGATATACAAACGACTTTCGGTTTGGCCCATTTCGTCAAGTAAATGGAAAAGCCAGACAGAAAATTATGGATAATTCCTGGTAGTTAGGATAACAAATATTTGAATCACAACAAATGCAATGTTCATTTATAGTTTTATTACCGCATTAGGCGTTAAAGTATTCGATGACTAGAACCATGTGATGATTTTGAACTCGGACAGTTTAGATTCTGCAATCGTACCAATTCGCATGATTCACTGCCCGACCAACTAGTCGATGGACAGTTGTTGAAGACATATTTCTGGGCACAGACGCCGTAGAAAAGTGCGACTGGAGAGCACTGTCCGGTTCTATTTTGCGGACGAGCTCTTCTGTTCCTCATCATCTCCTGCACAGTATCCGTACAGCTCATTACGCCATTGAAATAGGCATCCGTAAAGTCCTGATTACTGCCAAAGAGCTTATCCAGCATATTTCGTGCATTATCAGGATCAATAACCCCATCCACAAAGGAGTTGGTCACATTGAAAATGCACTCATACAGGCACTGCAAAGGAAATATTCCTATACCATGGAGAAACCACAACCTTGATCTCTAACTTACGGGTGAAATTCTGGGAGCACCAACTGGCATATATTTACCACATTGCTTTTTGTACTCATCAAACCGAAATGTGGGATATGCACAGCAGTCCTTCACAGTCTGAAATACAGAATGCAACCCTGATATTATCAGATTGCCTGATAAGGCCGATTCTTAGAACACTCACATTGAAATCCTGACGACGAGTACAGTCCACATCCACGGGATTACTCCGAACCATTGCCATCAGACAGCAGAAGCAGATCAGCAGAGCTATATTCCAGGCCATTATTTCAGTCAGTCTGAGCTTGTCCCCGTACTAACCGCTTAATTTATAACTCGGCTTTCGGGGGCGATCCACTAATTAATCGAGCACAGCGAAAACATTTTAAACGGCGGTCTCGTGAGCCGAAATGTGCAGTCATCGTGATGGATTTATAGAGGGCCAAAGTCCAACCATATATGCCCTATTGGGGGCTCGTCTATAACCAGACAATTGCAATTAAACAGTCTGAATTGAATGCAATCACTAGAACCATTAGGAACTGGAAAGCCAGACACAAAATTACGGGTAATCCCTGGCAGTTAGGATAAGTGATATTTTAACACCTGAATTAGGAATCGGACAAAAACGTTGAGATTATCAGGGTTAAAAAGCTGGCCAGTAGCACTTGGGATCCCTTGGAATCTACATGTTTACATCCATTCTCCGGTAATTGTTGTTTTTCCTCAAAAGCGATGGTTTTCTTCTTTTCATCTAGTTTTTTGGTACAACTTGACAATAGTTTCTTGAGACTCCTGCACTGGGAATCCTCCATCCAGTTTTCGGCGGGACAATCGGCAGTTACATAGACCATAATGCACTGGGCATGGAGCATCGCATAGGGTAAACAGGTGGAGGACGCCATGCCCATTTGATTCTCCACCTGATTGGAGTAGAGCAGCAGGAAGTCGGCGTGTCTGGAGCCCAAGGCCACGCATTTCTCATGGGCTGCCTTCCAAGCGGTTCCATAACTATGATAACCATTCAGAGGACTGTACAGGCTGGTTATCATCATGTAAAGCTCAGGTCTCTTCACCTTGTTATCCTCATCAAGGAGGTCCCAATGCTTGTACAAACACTCATAGCGGCACTGTAAATGTATTTCTTAATCAACATATTATTTTTTAAGCAGCATTACTACTCACAGGACCAAAGTCATCCCAATAGGGCGTACAATTGGTGCCAACGAAGAGGAACTTATCAAGAAAGGACTTTCCACAACAGTAGACCAACTTTTGCGTGTTAAGCAGCTCGGTGCATTTTTCCAATCCCGTCATATCGCTGGAGTTACTGTAAACAATCAAAGGAAGCCAAAGAAAACTAACTAGGTGCAGCACAAACGGAGACATTTTGAAGAACAGAAAATTTTGAAAAGAAAACAGAGTTCCTTAATCTACAAAAAAAATCTATTTGTTGGCTAACAAATGAAATAAATTACTAAGCAAACCAGCATCAGTGGGTTAATTTGTGGATAGGCGATCTTTTCCGTGTCATCTCTCTGCTTTACACACGCAAACATATTTTTCGACATTTATTTGATTCATTTGTCTCTCAAAGCTTTAGCTATGCAGACAGGGCGTATACTTATTGCCATGATTTTTCTGGCCTTAATAGTTCCTTTTTATTCAGCCAAGTGCAAGGCAGCTCCCAAATCTGTGCAGGTTAGTATAATATCTTATTATTTTTATCACATTTATTTAATGTATAATCTTTGTAAACAGAATGTACACGTTTGCTGCTCAGCACCAATGCCAAATTGGGCAGTTTATAATAGCGAATGCCATAAATCGGGACCTCAGGCAAGCGTAAGTAGTAAAAAGGCATATCCTTGAGCCAAGTTAATTATGTTAAATTCCATTTTTAAGTGCCGTCTGGCCTGCATTTTTAATGCCAGCTCAGTTCTGCAGGGAAATCGTTTGGTCCAAGGCAAAATTCGACCCATGTTGGAAAGGGCATTCGCCAGTGAACCCACCATCGATGTGTATGAGTCAAACTTTGCCAGATGTTCACCGATAATCAGGAGCAAATACCAGGAGCTATCGCCATTGAGTCGTCAAAGTGACGCCTGCGACAGACACGCCCTCTTCTACAGTTTATGTGCCTATGCTCGGCTGATATTCACGTGTCCCGATAAAATGTGGCAAAGGAATAATAGAATGTGCCAAGAAGCCAAGGCCTATGCCAAAAATTGCCCCTGGCCAGCCCTAAAAATGTTCATGAAAAATACGTAATAATTAAGAATTAAAAGTAGATTTCAGTGCATTTTTATTTTATTTTTCAGAGGTTGCGTGATCATGTCGAGAATGCTATGTTGGCACTGCGGATGATACCCTCCGCAGTTCCCATTCTGCCCATCCAATTCAGCGATATAGTATCGCTTGGGTAAGGCCTCATATAGAGAGCTACTGGGACTGAACATTACATGGATCAAACTGCCGAGCACACCATTCAGATCTCCCAATTGGTAGCTATTCGCCTCGCAAATCAATCGTAATAAACAGCCATCGCCTGAGCCCAAACCATGTCTGGAAAATAATGTAGGGTATGTGATTTAGAGCTTGTAAATATTGAAATCTACTTACAATTCAAAGCGATGATTGATTATATCATAGAACTTTGTTCGTGATAGTAGGGATCTCTTGACACGATCTCTGCCCACGGGTTCACCCATTCCATCTAGAGGAAATCCCTGGAAGAAATCCTTGTAGTCTTCGTCCTCCTCTTCTGGTGGAGTCTTTGGTTTTGGCTTATGCTTCTTCTTGTGCTTATGTTTGGGCTTGTTTTTTATGGTTGGCTTGTCTGCAGCTCCAGGTTTGGGTTTAGTCTTCTTTTTCTTATTATTATTATTATGATGATGTGGTTTGTGCTTGTGACCAGAATGTTGGTCATCATCGTAGTAGTCATCGTACACAAAATCATCAAACTGATGATGGCCATGGTGATCGCTCAGCAAACTATCCTCATTTGTGCCATTGCCATGGCGCTAAAAAAAAATAACATTTAATTTAAAATAAATCAGAATTTTCTTATAAAATCTTACCAAAAACGGCGGCTTCTTTTTCCAGGTTCTTGGCAAATCGTAGGACACTTCAAAATTGTAGGACAAAAACGCTTTTTCTCTCTGTAAATCCAAAGGTAAAGCTATGGCCACAAAAAGCTGACATAGTTATTAATAATATAAATATTTCTATAATGAATAAATCCAAAAACTTACCGAAGATGCTCCCCCCGTACTCCAAACGAACTTAGCCTGTGAGTCCTGAAAAAACCCAAGAACCAACAGGATGAAGAGGGTTCTAAAACCATCCATTGTATCCAACTGTCCTCATTCAACTGAATCGTCAATCTTGAAAGGCCAAAGTGAAAACCTTTTCTTTCTACCTAGAAGTGATGGTCCAATTAAGAAATTCCAGTTTCTAGCAGCGAAAGTTGCTAATTGAAAAGCCAGCAATTTAAATCAGGCCAAATTCTTTATATTTTATTGTGTTCAATGTGTTTTAGAATCTCTTCAAAAGGTTCTGATATTAGATCTAGAATACTTTCGCCACAGCCGGGTTCATAAAAATGGCAATGGTCATTCCAACCATCGTGTTCCGCTTGGTAATAACGAAGGGGCAGATCCTCAGACTCTGATGTGCTGGGACTTTAAGGGTAAAACATTATTATATTGGGTTATTAAAAAGTTATCTGGGCAATACCTGAATAAAACATGCACTAGACTGCCCAGAACGCCATTGAATTCATCTAGTTGAGCAGCACTTGTCTCACAAATCAGGCGAAGCAAACAAGATTCACCTTGGAAGCCACTCCTAAGCAGGAAAATTAGTATTCTTTAACATTCTTTTAAAAATAAGTATACAAACCTTTTAAGTTTGTCTATAAATATGCGATAGATATTGGAGCGTGTTAGCAGGGATCTGACTTTACGTTCCTTGGAGACTACTTCAGTGGTTTCATCCACTTCCTCCCCACCAGCTTCATTTTCCTCCACTGTGCAATTTTTACAGTCAGCAGGCAACTTTCGAGAAGACTCTGCCTCCGTCTCCGTATCCGTATCTGCCACCACTTCCTCCGACTCTATGGGACCATTTTGCTGGAACAAGAATAAGAACCATATGTAAACAATCCAACAATACTTTCATTCTGGTTCAACTGTTAATTGTGCCACAAAAGCGTGTTAATTGTCAACAAATGTGGCGTTTTATAGCCGCAAACAGACCAAAAATGAAACTTACAAATATTGTCCATTTCTCCCAGTTTGTGGGTAAATTGTAGTTGGCCTCAAAATTGTAGGAGACAAACACATTTCGATGGGGCAACTCGAGAGGCACAGCAATAGCGGCAAATATCTAAGGTGTATTTGGGAGTATTTTCTTTGAGCCCGGAATATATTTCACAAAAATCTTACACCATGGGTACTGGAAGCTGTGAAGGCCACAAAGGAGTTGCTCAAGTCTAAGTAGACCGTTAAAAGGAAAATCAGACCAAGGAGGTAACTAGTGAAATTCATTTTCTCTAAACCAAAGACACACGATAGACCACCACGATGTTCAGCCAGCAACTGAATTGCAATTGAAGCTGAGCTTCAAGCACTCGCAACAAGTGCGTGGCAACCGCCAAGCGAGGGACTGCTAATTAGATAGGTAAACCCCCCAGAAAAGTACTCTTCGGTTCTCTACCAGTACTCCAGTTTATTTTCATCTCCGTCGGCTTACAATATCGCCAAGAGCCTGCTCTAGTGGCACAGAAATCAGGTCCAAGATATTATGATCACAGCTTTTGCTATATGCAGAGCACTCCTGATTTTCCCGACCATCCCATTCCGCTTGGTAATACTCATGCGGCAGGTGCTCATCCTTCGAACTGCTGGGACTGAAAATATTACAAATTTTAAATATTTTAGAGTTGACCTATATTAACCAACTTACCTGAATATTATGTGAACTAGGCTGCCCAAAAATCCATTATTTTCGCCCAGTTGAGATGCATTGGTATCGCATATTAGACGCAGTAAACAGGCCTCAGCAGGAAAACCAGATCTGAAAGTAGAATGATATTAGGATTTCGTATAGGTAGTTAATAAATCCTAATTACCTCCTTAGTTTATCCCTTAACATGGCATAAAAAACAGAGCGACTCATCAAAGTTAAGCCCCGCTTTTCACGAGAGACAGTTGACGAATTACTTGAGGATGTTTGATTTCCCTCTATTTTCCAATCTGTGCAATTCAGACAGTGTCTGCCCTTGTCATCTCTTCCTGTGGTGGGATATGTAAGATAGCTATCCTCAAAGTCCTGACCCATCTAAAAATTACAAGAAAATACACAAATTTTCACAAAAGTTTCAAACGAGCAAAAGTCATTAAAGAACCCACCAAAATCGGAGGATATTTGTACACGTGCTCCGGCTGATAGTAATTAAACTCGTAGTTATAGGACAAAAAGACATTGCGATGCGGCAAGCCAATGGGCACCGATATGGCCATGAATATCTAGGAAGCAAAAACCATTTTATAGACAACAAATCACAGGCACTTGAGACAAAATTACCCCGTACTCGGAGTTGGTGGTAAAAAGCAACGAAGATTTAACCAAGTTTAAGTTTATTAATATGGCACAAAAACAGAGCAAAGGTCTATATATCAAAGATCTGTACATTCTAAAGTATATATCCAAAAGCAAGCAATTTCCGATGTTCTTGTGTAAACGTTTTAAAACCAACTGGCGGCCGCTTTGGTCAAAAGTCGGCAAGAAAGGTGCGTGTTCAAGAAGCTGTTAATTAAAACCCAGAATTGGAAATCTGTGTCGGCCCGAATTGGTTTAATGCAGTTCAAACTGTGAGCGTGGTGATCGATCATCCAGTTTATTGTCTTCCATTTCGTCTGTCCAAAGCCTCCCGAAGAAGATCTACCAACGACCTTGAGATGAGATCCAATACGCTCTCTTTGCATTCACTCTCATACGATGGGCCAAAGACATTAAAATATGATATAAATATTGGTCTTTGGATGAGCAGTCTCCATACCAATGACCGTCACATTCGGCTTGGTAATAATCTTCATCCAGATTAAAGGGTATTTATTATAGAGTCCTGCATGAGTTCACTTGAATTGAAAAATTTTGAAAATAGAGTGAGTGAGTGCAAGTGAGTTAACTTGGATCACTTGTTTTACTTGATCACTCGTAAGAAAAAACAAGTGATACAAGCACAGAATAAGAGTGAGTGGAAGTGCAATTACTTACCAAATTATATCGGTGATTTTAAATTATTTTATATTTATTTATTTAATATTATATCGCTTGTTTTTCCTTATGAATCAAGTGATCCAAGTTACCTGACTTGAACTCCCTCACTCTATTTTCAAAAGTTGACTTGTTTGATCATTCAATTCAGTTCAATTCAAGTGGACTCATGCAGGACTCTAATTTAAACTAGTATAAAATTCGACCTCTAAATAACGGTCAGTAGCAAATTCCACCCAGAACGGATTAACATAAAAATCTAAAAAAATCACATTAATTTTTTAATATAATCCAGAATACACTGTAACTAGAATATTTACACCGAACTCCGAGTTAGTTTGAAACAACAACGTGGCTCCCACCAAGGACCACTTTATAATGACAAAGTACAGAAATATCTTAATATTCATTTTGCTTTGCAAAATATCCTTGACTTTTGTTACGCGACCAAGAAGTGCCAGCCAACTGAAGCGCCCAGCGCCACAGATTACAACCTTTATAGAATCGCCGGATCTGTTAATTAACTGGCACGGGTACGCACCGAAACTAACCGCAGTCGGCGGCGCTCCCAAAATAACCGCACTCACGACGCGAGCCGATAATTCTCCAGAAATAGACATGGAAACGGGGCTGATCTACCAAGTTGCAAATGATGTTTTATTTCAATGCGTTGCGCATACGCTTATTAGTTACTCCTAGTCTATAATAATGGTTCTTGAGGTGTGTTCGCCTCCGTTGGGCATTTGCTACCTGCCGTTGCGTAGCTTTCGTTCCTTCCAGGTGGCGAACTTTCCGTTGGCTGTGCGCAGCAGCTGGTTCATGTGCTGGGTCAACGAGGACCGCAGCGGCGAGAGTTCGTGCATGGCGCGATTCTGAAAGGTGCATTAGGATTTATGATATACTCAAGGAACATAATTTAAGAACCCACCTCAAAAGGCACTAGTTTGGCCTGTTTGAAGCGCTGCAAAGTCTCGTGCATACGCTGCAGCTTTGCCTCCAGCTCCTCGGAGGTGGGCGGGAAACAGCTCCAGAAGTGCTTCAGCAGCTCGGATAGTGAGAGATACAGGTGTCGCAGCTCGCGTTGGAAGTCACTGGGCACAAGTTCTGCAAGGCAATGGAAAAAGTTAATAATGAGAGTTAAAAACCCAAGTTTAAGTTCAACTTACGTCCCGCTGACTGCTCTTGGAAGCCGCGCATCATGGAACCGCCGGGACTCAGCTCTCCCAGCGCATTCACCGCCGCCTTGGAACAGATAAAAGTGCGCTGCACGTTGCGATTCAGCCAGGACTCTGAGTTGCGCACCAGCTTGTACTGCACCTCCTCCAGACTCATGGAGTCGTTGTGGTTGTCGTACATGCTGTTCTGGACGGGGCCATTGAGGTAACGCTCCACCTTTGACAGTTCGAACTGCTTGTTGGCCTTGCTGGCCTTCTCCCCGTGGGCGGCATCGTCGTCTGCTTCTATGACTGGCTCGCCCAGATCCTCGTAGTGAATCTTCTCCATCAGTCGTTGCTTCTTGCTCTGCGGCTCGTCCTTGTCCACCGGGTCGGCGGAACTCTTGGCGGCGGAGGAGGCCGTGGCCTTGCCGTTCAGACCGTTCGTATAGGCGGACTGCGAAACCGGTCCGTTGGCATTATTCGTGCCATTGGTCATCGTTGAGGGCGCTGAGGTCACGTTGGTACAGGTCTTGAGCACCATAATGGAATGCTGGTTGAACCGCTTGATCATGTTCTGATGCACGATATTGCCGCTGTTCACTACGTTGCGATCCCCGGCCACGCTGCCGAAGCCCTCCTCCAAGGGAACATCCTCGAACTTCTTGAGGTCCAGAAGCGGATCACCGGCTCCCTGCTGAACGGCCGCTTTGAGGGCCTGATCATCGATCTTGCCGCACTCGGTGAATATATCCTTAGTGCCGGCGGTGAGGCGATCGCGATGAAAGTAGTGCGATTGGAAAAACTTGGTCCAGAACTCGGATTCTGGCATCTTGGCGGGCACATTCTCGAAATGCTTGCGTTTGACGGCGGGATAGGTCTTGAAAATGCAGTGAATCACGTCGGAGGTGAGGTTGTACTTGAGGCCGTTGCAGCCGTCCGTTTGCGGCTTGATGTCGGCCAGAAAGGCGCCAGAGACACCTGTGATTGTAGGGAGAAAAAATGAGAATCCAGAGGTATATGATGGCTTTAGATACCCACCGATCTCCTGGGACTTGCCCATCTTCTTCAGGGCATGATCCTTGGCGTGCGTGGCCCAGAACTCGTCGCTGGTCAGGACCTTGGTGATGACCAGATCCTTGTAGAGCTGCAGCAGATTGGGGTTCTCGACGAGAATGCGGTTCTTGTCCTCCAGGTCCTTGTCCACCTTCCGCTTGAAGTTGGGCAGCAGCTGCTGCAGCAGCTCCTTGACCTTGTCCCTGTCCGCCAGCATCGCGGGCTGTCCCTGGCGATTGACGAAGTGGAAGGTGGAGGTGTTGCCGTCGTGCAGCACCACCTGCAGCTGCACCTTGGGCTTTCCCTCCGGAGAGATCTTCTGGGCTGGATGGATGGATGGAGCACAGAGGGGTTACTAAAGCTAAAGGCCTAAGGCGTTTGTCAACCCACTCTTGATGTCCGCATAGCGATGCGAGACCGTCACCGTGTCCCGGTGCTCCGCCATCCAGGCCACCCGCTCGTTCATCACGTACAAGGTGCCGTCGCCCTTCTTGTACCGCACCTCGCCCATCTGGAGCAGCACGTCCTCGCTGCTGGTGGTCATCGTGTCCTCCGCAGCAGTCCCAGTCGCAGATCCACGGTCGCCGTCTCACATGGGAGCCTCCGAAAGGACGAGAAAGGACGAGAAGGGGAGCGCCAGCAGTTGCCTGCCACCTGAAAGAGCACGAAATGCGGTCTGAGTTGCATCCTCCGGTGGCGGAAAAGTGCTGTGGCGACTCCGCCGGCGGCACTTTCCCCCATTGGCGGTCGGCGAAACGCACGGTTTCACGCTATTTTCACGAAATTACTGCAAGCGCAGCCGCATTTAATAATAATCTTAATCACGAAATAAAAAAAACGCAACGCACTTCTTCTTAGTTTGGTATTTTTAGTATTTAAATATCGAAGTAGAGGCTTGTCGAAATCGAAGAAGAAGAAGAGGCTTATCGATAGTTGGATAAAAACGCTTTCTGATATCGATTATATATATTAAACATGGAATGGCGGGAAATTCAAATTAAATTTTAAATATGCTTTGGCTTTTAATATCACTCTGCTCCTCTATAACTTTTAAAGAAATTTTTTATTTTAACCTAATTTATTATGTGCATACTTTTGACCTGTTAATGGTGGGAATTATTATCTAAAATAATATATTTCAAATTTTTCAAATTAATGTGTGTTGTTGTCATCTGAAAAACGTTGCATATCATCTGTAAAATTGCCTACAAAAAATCTCCATAAAATAGTTAAGAAAACTCAGTTTTAGCTAAACTCTTGTAATTTTCCATTGTAATTAAATTTCTTTATTTTCCTAGTATGTACAGCTAACTAACTTAGGTGCCACTTCAGTGCTTGGTGCGCTCCACAGTTCGTCCACGATCGAGTAGCTCCCGGAAGGTCTTGATCTCGTGCCGGGGAATGGCCTCCCGGTACTTGGGCTGCATCAGACCGAAGATGAAGTCCAGCTCCGTCTCCTCGTCGTGACGTCCCTCGGGCAGCTTGGCCAGCAGGGCCCGCTGCTTGCAGACAAAGGAGTCGATCACCTCGTCGTAGGCCTGCTTCGTCTCGAAGATCTCCATGTACAGCTGGTAGGAGGGCTTCGTTGGCGAGAAGTGGTCCCTCAGCAGCTGCAGGGCATCCGGCCAGGTCTTGGCATCCCGGCGCACTCCCTTCCACCACATCACGGCTATGTTGTTGAAGAGCAGCGACAGACCCTTCAGGGCGTCCTTGTCGCTGATGCCCTCCACCTCCTTGTACGTCTCCACAGCATTGATGAACTCATCCACGGCATCGTGATCCCGCTGCCCGCTGAACCGCACCGTGCAATTACTGAAACTCCCCTTCGAGGGCGGCTCCTCCTCTTTGATGGGCGCCAAAGCCTGAATCGTTTCGATGAGTATGCGAAATTGTTCGTCGGACATCTGCGTCATTTTTGGGGCCGCTTTTTGTTTTGGTTCCACGAGAAGAAAAGTAAACAAACAACGGCCGGAAATGGTCCAGCTCCAAGTCGAATTTCAAAGCCCCCAAACTTTTCGATGGCGGGGGAGCAACTGGCGTTGAATTTTGCCCGCTCAGCGGTTTTGCTCGTTGTGAAATTAAAAGCCCTTCGCTCTTTTGACTAAAAGCTTTTTCGATTTTCGAAAAATAAAACGTCGCGATGGTCGCTCACTGAATATGTTTTATTTTAATGGGGGAGCATTTTCTCATTTTCTGGGGGGTTCACCTCTCCTATCTCCACTTCGATTTACACGAATTTGTTCTATAGATAATAAACCCAGATAACAGGTGGCATTCAAACATGTCATTATTATAATTGATGGAACGAAAAAGAAATGGCTTACTTTCAATTATTATGGAAAATCAGCTTAACTATGCTATATATTTGTCATAGATGTTTTCTATTTTAACCGGTTTTCTTAGGTCATCTTCGCCTATTGATTTGTCATCACAAAAAGAAACAATGACATCACATAAAAAAAGCGTGTTGTTTGGGCAAACGAAAATTTTTACTTTTATTGATTTCGAAATGAAAATAAATGTAAAAGATGAACTTGACCCAATATGTTATCCAGAAAAACTTGAAACTATTTGAAAGAGCCAAAAATGTTCTCATCATTTTATGAGTTATATTTTGTAAGTAAAAAGTCTCTAACGGCTTAATTGCATGTCAGTAATTGAGCTATGAGCAAGTTCGTGAATTTCAAATGGCAATGTAATGTACATTGCACACAAATTGAAGGTCTCGAAATGCACTCTTTTTAAAAAACCTCATAAAAGAAAATCAGAAATAAAACTAACAATTCTTAAATTGATTATTTCTTCAAAACATTGGTTATATAATATTACCATAAGCCTTTTTTTTATACAAATTTTTCGTCTTCAAATTGCACAAATAACAAGCCAGGGTTTGCAAAAAAAATTGTTTAGATAAAAACTAAATATAAATGCTTAAAAATATTATAAGTATGAACAGTAATGTAGAAGGGCACATGGATAAGCAAAACTGCGCTGTGGATGACAAAGTCCGCTATTGAAATACAAAATATATATACTCAGTTCCAAGAATTTCACATGGCAATGTAATGAAAGTAAAACCCGAAATGAAATAATAATTCTAGGAAAGTTTTCCTTGAGACCCAAATAATTACCCACCTTTAGTATAGTATAAAAAATCAATTGGAACATATTTATAACCGGGTTTGTTTATCAGTTTTCGGGTATGTTACCGGCTTTTAAACTGATACCATTATATGGCATATAGCCCGATGATTCACTGGGTTGTAGCAACAAGAAACACAGGCAATGCCCGCTCTTTGGCGCTTCCTCTCTCGCATTTTCTCTCCCCGATTCCCCAAGCTTTTTCGAAGTTCGATTTCACAACCGGCGGGTATAAAAGGCCCCTGCAGTCAGAGAGCTCCTCAGTTCGCAACAACGGCCGCATTCGCTACACTGGCTTTGCCCGCCGACGGAACCAAAACCCCAAGAGTTTAATCACCTAACCTCACAGAAACCCCCGAAAATCCACGATGGCCCAGACGATTCAGATGACCAACGAGCAGCTCCGCGAGCTGATCGAAGCGGTTAGGATTTCCGCGGTGAGTGCCGCCGGAAATGCAGCGGCAGCCGGAGGAGCAGATGCCCAGGGCGCCAAGGCCAAGGGCAGTTTCTCGGCGTGCACACACAACTTCGGCGGAACCCGGGATCATGACGTGGTCGAGGAGTTCATCACCAACATCGTGACGTACAAGGAGCTGGAGAACATCAGCGACGAGAACGCCCTCAAGGGCATCTCGCTGCTGTTCTACGGACTGGCGAGCACCTGGTGGCAGGGCGTCCGCAAGGAGGCCACCACCTGGAACGACGCCATCGCCCTGATCCGCGAACACTTCTCGCCCACGAAGCCCGCCTACCAGGTCTACATGGAGTTCTTCCAGAACAAGCAGGAGGACCACGACCACATCGACACCTTTGTGGTCCACAAGCGAGCGCTGCTGGCCCAGCTGCCCAGCGATCGCCATGACGAGGAGACGGAGCTGGATCTGCTCTACGGCCTGCTGAACATCAAGTACCGCAAGCACATCTCGCGCCAGACGATCCAGTCCTTCAAGGACCTCCTCGAGCAGGGCCGCATCATCGAGCACAACAACCAGGAGGACGAGGAGCTGGCCGCCACTTCGAAGAATACCCGTGGCTCCAAGCGCACCACCCGCTGCACCTACTGCAGCTTCAGGGGCCACACCTTCGAGCACTGCCGCAAGCGTCAGAAGGATCGGCAGGAGGAGAATCACGACGATTAGGTGGCCACAAGCAACCCGAGGCAGCCATCGCCACATGACATCATCGGTGGTGGTTCCGCCCACAAAAACAAAGCAGAACTTTTCGCAGCCACACTGGCCGACCGACGTCAGCGAGAACCCAACATCCGGAGAGAGAGGCAGCAACATGTACAGCAGCAACACCAACAGCAGCAACAGCAACATGTACGGCAGCAACATCAGCCCCCCGGCAACCTCAATCTCCCCAAACTCACTGGCAAACGGCGTGCCGGTAAGCCCCGATCAGCTTCTAAAAACCCACAAATCACGCTGTTTGTATTACTCTTCGTAATACCCCGAAAACGGCTCTTTTTTCTAAATATTTCACGCCGCCCTGTCGGCTGTTTTGGCTCAGAACGCCAGCATTTGAGCAGCAATTATTTCAATTGCAACATTGAATTTGATTTTACAACTAAAGTTGTTTCTATAGTTTCTATAGAAACAAGCATTGCTTCGAAAATTGTGGGGCGGGGGCGGCTGGGGGTCAGGCATTTCGTCCGAAAAACCGGTTATACAATGAATGATTGTGGAATTCAAGCCAGAGGCCCGTAAAGTGTCATCTGCTGATTAATTTCGGCACGGCACTGCCTTGAACTTGAATTTCATGCTTTGACATTGCGTAGCCGCCTGGATGCCGCTTGATCCACAGTCGCCCCCCCACAACCCTACAATTCTCACAACCGCCGGCTCCACTTTGTGCCGCTCAGCGAAAGAATAGCGATAACTTGGTTACCAAAAGAGATAATCCGTTTGTTGAAAAACCTACAGATCATCGCTTTTGCCACCATTTTCGCTGCTTTTTCGTCTGATCCTGGTCCTTTGTGAAGCTGGCAAAAAACCCCCCGCCCGGCGAACGCCCGCTTAGATCCTTTTGCATGCGACATCGAAAAGCCCCGAGGGGCGGCGACTCCCACTTCCGGTTGAGGCTTCGGCAGCTTCCGCTCTTGGGGGTCGCTTAGCCCCTTGCGATGTCGCCGATGTGCGAGTGGAGCTACAGGGGGCGTGAACCGGGCAAAACCAGAATTTCCTCGGAAGTTCAAAAACCAACTTTTGACATTTTGTCAACCACTTTCCACACCACAAGCACACATAGCACTACGATGGCTAACGATTCGCCATCCGTGCGGTTGGCACGTCAGATTGTCTGATTCGGATCACGGGTGTAGGGCTGTTTATCATTTCACCCCTGCGACTCCGCGACAAGCTTGAGGCACGCCAGCACCATCATACACTGAAAAAACCGGGTTGGGTCTCGTCGTGGCCGCGCCCCTCCAGCCGGCACCGACTCTCTCCGCCCCCCAACTGCAAAACCAGCCTCTTGTGCAGATGAAATAGGCGCGATCAGCCGTCTGGGACTACTCATCCTGTTCTGTCCTGCATCACGGTGGCCAGACTTGCACCGTGCGCCATAAACTGGAGATTTGGCCACACGCACAGCCAGAGTTTGGCCCGCAATCCTCACAACAGAAACCACGAGTGGGGGCCTATGGATGACCGCAATTGGCTGCGGAAGCAACAGAAATTAAACAAACTTAACAAGACTGAAACCAGAAAACATTAAACCACAAAAAACCACAAAACCTAAACAACTATCAAGTGTTTTTATTTTACGGGGGGAAATGGGAATATTCTTTTACAGGGAAAATATTTTTTTACAGAGAAATAATTTATTTTACAGGAAAAATAAATTTGCTGCCAAAAATCAATTGTTTTGTAATAAAATTTAACTATTTTAAGTTGATCTTACAAAAGAAGTGAAAAGTCCAATATACCCTTTAAAAACTGCAACTGAAAAATAGGTAACGGCAAAACAAAACATAAACAAGTTATCGATAGACTATTGCGGCGGAAATGGCAGCCTTGCCAGACTGTTGCGCTAGAGATGGCACTGTTGACAGGTTCGCCTGCTGAACGATAGACCAGATATTTTTAGACAAAAACGCCTGCACTCATGTTTTTAATGAATTTGTTGGTTCCTCCGCCTTGAAATCTCTTCAAAAAACAAGTTAAAAGTAAGTTTGCTGTCGTTGCCGCCCTGTAAATAGCCCATTTAACTACCGATGTTTCAAAAACACCGACGTTATCGATGACACCGAGGCTGCCATCGAAGTGCTGCCACCTCTACGACAAAATAATAATATTTCCTAATCAATATACCTGATATCAACAACTGATGCACAAAACACACCGTCTCACCACCGACAGCCAGTACATGGAGGTCGAAGGCTTGCTGCAGGTGAGTGGACGCACTGCGTCTGCCTTCTATTCCGGTTAATCCGCAGACGGCTACAACGCCCTTTCTTTTCGCCCCGTCGCTCTCCACACACTCCGCCCACCTGAAAAACCTGGTTAAAAACCACGCAAACACCCACATATCCACTTAGGCCATGGACATGCCCACCAGCCACGACCCGGAGGCGGAACTGGAGCCGGAGTCCACGTCGCTGTGCCGCCTGAGCCGCTACAACGTGACCAACCTGTACGATGGGCCGGCGGGCGGGGGGTCCGCTTTGACCTCGGGCCGCCAGCGCTGCTACACAATGCCGCATGTGCCACCGCCAGCGCCGCCCTCCACGCCCACTCTGCTGACGAGCGGTGGTGGGGGTGGGGGCGGTAGTAGCACCTCCGTATCCGTCTCCATTTCGCCCACCTGCTCCACCGGCAGCCATCCGCTGGATGGCCAAAGTCAGAGCCTCAGCCAGAGCCCCTTGAACCACTTCATCTACGTGAAGAACGGCAAGAACCTGCGTCGCGAATCGCGCTGCGTCGACTCCGAGCTGTCCAAGCTGTTCAATGTGGTCTCCATCACGAACCGGCTGACGGCGATCAAGAATCGCAGCGGCTCCCTTGCGAATTCCAGCGGGATTTTGAACGCCTCGCGAACCATATCGAAGCTGAACGGGGCGACGGCCACGAAGATCTTCAAGATCCATCGGGATCCCAAGGAGTTTCTGCGCGAGACGGACGAGGACTCGGTCTCGGCGCCGGAGTACGACGAGGAGGAGGAGGACACGCGCTTCCGGTTCTTCCGGCGGGCGCGCTACTCGCGCAGGTACAGCACCTCGCGGTCGGGCAGAAAATTCGCGAGGAAGTTCGCCCGTTTCGAGCACCATGAGCGCATGGAGACCATCGTGGATAGCTTCGATGCGGCCATGAGCTTCAACGATGCGGACACCTGAGAGAAGGAGGATGAGGATGCGGCATGGCAGATGGTCGGCCAACCAATGTGATGAATGTGAATTTCAACTAAATTATTTTAATTGCTACAAACTACTATTATTACGATTATTATTACCGATTACCGAGCTGTTCTCTCCATACGTTTAGTTTCCTTCTACGCCGATTGCCGTGGCCTCCGGGATCCCGGCTGCGAGTCGCGGCTGCGGATCGCGGACGCAGCGCAGGGCACGCATTTAGTTTAAAGCCTAGTTTTACGCCTACGCCTCTGGGGCGGAGCAGGTGCAGCCGACCACCAAATGGTTGACTGCTCCACGAACAGAACGATTCCAATAAATGCACAAAACGTGTTGTATTCGAGAAGAGAGATTAATTATGATGGTTTCATTTAGAGCTGTGGTTAAGTTAAGTTATGTATGATCCACACAAATATAACATCGTAATCCTGAGAATTCGCGGTTTGTGGAGAATCAATAATTATAAAGCCAAGTATAAGCAATAGTGCCTTAGCTAAGAAGAAAACGGTCCAACCAATCTGAAGATCCTCCTGTTCTTAAAAATTCGCGGGTTGGAAGAATTAATATAAAATCTATAAAAGTTCTTAAATTAATTTTCAAAAACCGCGAAATCTAAGAATTAAGAGGATATATTTGCGTGGATAATACATAACTTAACTAAAGAAACCTAATAATATATTCTATATTGATTTTTAAAAATCCGCGAATTCTTTAGAGCAAGAAAATATATTTTTGTGGATCATACATCTGTAATATTTGAAGACCACGAGAATTTGCATGGGCGGAAGAAGTGGAAACAAATGTCGATATATACACAAATAACCATCAGGTTACTTGTGCAGGGCTCTAGTTCTAAACTTAAAGAAAACACCAAACACCGTTTAGGGTTTCCCCCGTCGTCTTTATTAACTTTTCTTCATAGACATGTATAAGGTTATTTTCGTTCTCCGTCACTTTAAACTCAGCAACTTCAAACAACTGTAGACATCTAGGGGAGCAATGCAGGCGGCGAAAGTCTCTGACTTGTCAATGGAAGAAGCTACGGGTTATTTGACTCTGTCACAAGTCCATTGGGGTCTTTATTAACTACCTCTTATGACTACATAGTTCCGAGAACTAATTTTCGCTTTGGAAGCGCAAAAAAAAACAACAATGAATAACATCTAGATGGTCTAAAAATCTAATTCGAGCAACGCTCGGCATTTAAACACGCTTCGAGAAGAAATACGATGTGAGATTCTCCTCCAGCTGCTGGGGATCGGTGACGGGCATGCGGCAAGCTCGTTCGTGGCAAATGTAAACCGTAGTCTTGCCGCTGACCATCTTAAACTTGGTTTGCAACCGTTTGTCAGGGGCCTCTTCTGGTTTCGAAGGATCCACATGCACGATGATCATGCTGGGGATGTAGAACTTGCGGCATATCTCCACGAACCGCTGGGTGTCTGGGGAATCCGGACCCACCACTGCCACCAAATCCAGGCCGTTCTCATGCATCAGCCGAGCGGACAACATCTCTGGGAGGGCATGTCCGAAGGGCGATACATCGGTGAAGAAGTTCAACAGTTTTCCGGCCCTCTGGAGATAGGCATTCTCGTCGTAATAGTGGCCCAACAGGACGAGATTGCGGGCGGATACACTGTTGCCACAGGGCTCGGCCCCATCGTGGTCTTTAAAAAAACAAACCAATCAGTTATTTGTGACTAAATAGGTGAAAGTCAATCAAATTTACCTTCCTTTAGCCGCACAATAACATTGGGTGAATCCTGCTGCGAGAAGAAGTAAGCTCCATTTTGGTCGTCCCAGAAAAGCTTGTCCTGCGTGTCCTGCAAGGACCTGGCCCAATGCAAGACGTCCACGTCCAGTGTAGCCTTGTAATAATCCAGCAAGCCCTTGATGAGGAACGCATAGTCATCCAGAAAGCCATCGATTTGGACTCTATAAGGGCAATAATAATTATTATTATTATCTAAACTAATATAAAATTCGAGCTCTAAAAAACGGTCAGTAGCAAATTTCATCCAAGAACGGATTGACATAAAAATCTAAAAAAATCACATTAATTACTAAAATAATTAGGAGCCGCGTGTGAGGTACAAATTATTATAATTATATATCTAAACTAATATAAAATATCTAAAAAACGGTCAGTAGCAAATTCCACCCAGAACGGACTGACAAAAAAATCTAAAAAAAATCACATTAATTACTAAAATAATTAGGAGCTGCGTGTGAGGTTCAAATTATTATAATTATATATTATTTTATATAAAACTCACTCATTGTTCTCCAGAGTTTCATCACCCACAGCCACACCATAGCAGGCCCGAATGAGCAGCTTTCGTTCCGGATCGTACATCTCCTGGCGCAGAAATTCGAGCAGTTCCTTGGCCGTCTGCATGTACTGCTCCCGATGGGCCGAGTAGCAGTTGCCCAGCTTGCAGAGTCCCGACAGCACCAGGCCATTCCAGGCGCATATGATCTTGGTGTCCAGGTGCGGACGCGGTCGCTGATCGCGCAGAACGTGCAGAATATCATTGGCGGTGGTAAGGAGCTTCCTAAATTGATCCGCCTCCAGGTTGAAGTTGGCACAGGTCTGCTCCTCCGATCCCCGAACGATGAGGATGTTCTTGTGGGTCAGGTGACCATGCGGATCGCTGTAGGCTGGGATATTTCCGCGTGGCTTTAAATCGTAGTGGAAAGCATAAATCTCAAAGGCCCGTTCGGGCGTAATCTCGTCAAATCGCTCTGCCTTCTCCTTGAAGGCAGCCTCAATCTCATCCCAGGTCCAGGCGTAAAAAGCTCCCTCCACCTTCACCTTAGCTTCGTGGCTGGGCAACGAATCGGCATCCTCGCCGGCATAGAAGCCGCCCAACGGATGCCTGAGGTCCTTAACCAAATACCTGTAGATCTTGTCGCCGTAGTCCAAAAATGCTTCGTTCCTGGTCACTTTGTAGGCATGGGAAAACGCCACCATAAGTTGTCCCTGGTCATAGAGCATCTTCTCAAAGTGAACGTTGTGCCAATCGTGAGTGGTAGCATACCGAGCAAAGCCTCCGAAAATATGATCATTGATGCCACCCCTGCCAATGTGATCCAACGTGTCAATCACCATGTCCAGCACATCCAGATCCTTGGTGATGAGATAGCCGTGGAAAAGAAAGTTCAGACGCGGCACCTCCGGAAACTTGGGCTCCCCACCAAAGCCTCCATGACTCTGATCGAATCGCTGCTTATGAACGCTGATGGCCTCGGCCAGCTTGTCCATGGCGCTTCCTGCCCCCGCCTCCGCCACAGCCGCATACTCCTGGCTCTTCTGCAGAGCATCGATCAAAGTGGCTCCGGCTGCCACGAGGGATTCCTTGTCCGTTTCCCACTTCTTGGCAATGGAATTCAGGACGGCGCTGAAGGACGGCATTCCGTAGCGGGATTTGGGCGGGAAGTAAGTCCCCGCCACAATGGGAGCCAATTCAGGAGTCAGCCACACGCTCATCGGCCATCCACCGCTGCCCTTGGTCATTAGCAGGAACTGCATGTAGACCTTGTCGATATCCGGACGCTCCTCCCGATCCACCTTGATGTTCACAAAGTTCTGGTTCATAATGGCCGCTGTTTCGGCGTTCTCGAAGGATTCGTGCTCCATTACATGGCACCAGTGACAGGTGGAGTAGCCCACCGAGAGAAAGATGAGCTTGTTCTCGCTTCGGGCCTTCTCGAAGGCCTCCTCGCCCCAGGGATACCTATAAAAAGAGTTGATATCACATTGAAATCTGCACTTTATAGGGATTTTCTCAATGTTATTATGGATTTAATTTTTTTTAATAATAATTTTATAAGTATTAGCTCACTTTCTAACTAAATACATATCTTATTTGTTTGAATAATTGTTTAAAATAGTTTTTTTAAGTACTTTTATAGGTTTTACTTGGGAACATGTAAGATTACAAAAAAGTTTATATAATAACAAAGGGCTATACATATTATAATTAAAACTGTAGATATTATGCCATCAAAATCTAGTTATTTTAGCGTTTTACCACCAATATTATTGTTTTGGTATTTATTACTGAAGTGGCCCTGCTATCACACGTGATTTAAGGTCAAGTGAATAATTGTCTTAAATAGTCATTAATGTAATTTTATTGGTGTTATTTAGGAACATGTAAAATTACAACAAAGTTTATGTAATAACAAAGGGTCATACATATTATAAAGATAATTCAGCCTTTAGATATAACAAGTTATTTTGGGGTTTTAGCGTCAATATTATTGTTTTGGTATTTATTACTCAAGTGGTTTGATTTATATCGCCCTTATCTGCTATCACATGTGATTTAAGGTGAAGTGACACCCACACTTTTTAATGTATCCCACTCACCAGTCGACTGGATTATAGGCGTGCTGCAGAAGGTACGGCGACTTGGAGGCGACCAGGCGATTGCCCTGCTTGGGAACCTCCTCCTTGGGTGCCTCCTCCACCTTGGCGGTCTCCTCCTTGGATGCTTCTCCACCGGTGGCCATTCCCCTGAAGCACTGCTGCTGGCTGTGACGCGCGGAAAAATAACATTAGAACAGGTGGTTGATTAAAAATGCGAAGCTCACTTGCTCACTGATACGGTGCGACTGGGACAACCGATGTGCGGGAGTCGCAGGCTCCGACGGACCGACTCGGGTTGTGATGTATCTGTTTGGAGTTTCAAGGTCGTTTGCAGAGAGCTTCGTATCCAGGGGAGGAGCGGTCTGACCCTGAACATAGCAAACGAATCGGGAGTCTCGGGGCTTGCGCTTTGCTTTCACTTATCGACCTCGTCCAATGCCAATAAAACTGCAACGTGTGAGTTGTGAGTCTCGAATTGACCAATTTGTTTTTTGTTTTGCATATCGGCTGTGGTGATGGAACGGAATGCGATGTTTATGCGATACCATCGAGTGCCGTGCCGCCAATTGGTCAGCTTCGATTGTTTTCGTTTAAAAATTGATTTAGCGGATTTCATTTTGTTATTAAATAGTTAAGTATTTATTTTTATAATTAAGGGTCGTGAAAAGATTTTTGTTAAATACCATTGCTGAGCAATACAAAAGGGGAAATCTGACCGAAAAGAAACATGGCAATTTTCTTAGCATACTTTAATGCGATGCGGAAAAAAACTCTCCACATAAATTCTCCACATTTCAAACGTTAAAACTTTTAGGCGGGCAAAAAACTCTCCACAAAAAATTCTCCACAAGTTAAATTTAATTCAAATCTAGCGACTCTAAAATTCAAATTTAAGTTGGAAAATTAAAAAGAAGGTCTCTCAAGAAAATCCCTTTTCCCAGTTTTTATAACCAGTTTTTGGATGGTGGAAGAGTTCGAATTCAACGCCAGGATTCGGTGTATAATTCCGGTGGATGAAGTTTAACAAACTGAAATTATGAGCCATTTTATTAAAATAATCCGAATCATGGAAAGAAATATTATATATGTTTAAAAAGTATCAATCTATTTAAATTCAAATATACATATATTTTAAAATATTGATTTAATTCAACTCCTTTCTCCTCTTAATAAAAAAACGACAGTTGTTAAATTTTCATAGTTTTATTAATGCATAAAGTTTATCTTTGCTTTGATAATTATGTAGAAAATGCTTACACCTATGCGGCCGATATATAGAATAATTAACCTACTAGCTAGTTGAAAATCACAAATGAACATACAATATTTATACATTATAGTGTGGGTGTGGTAATTAAGCACATCGTTTTAAACTAATACACATTGCGGACTGGACTGGCAGATCCTGGGGACTCTCTCGCGAGGCTCTCAACTTTGAGTTGACAGCGGGGAGAATCGTTTGGCCAGGCGGTTTGTCCTTGGCCAGGCTAACTAACAATCGCTTTGGACTAGCGCATCGCTGAGGGAACTGAGCTGCTCCTCGCTGCCCTTGATCCTTTCGGCCAGGTCGCGGGCATCGGCGATCAGTTTGGCCTTCATGTTGATGAAGTAGTCGTAGTCGGCGCACATGTCGGCGCTGAGGTTTTTGCCCAGTAGGCCGGCAATGCTGGTTCCACGTCGATCGATATCCGATTTGAGGCGCTGCGCCTCCTCCAGCTGCTCGTACAACAGATTCCGCTTGGTCTCTAGCGCGCCCTAAGGATTAGAAAGGAATATTTTTAAGTAAAATATTTTTTTCTATTTATATAAATCGATATAAATCGATTCGGTTTTACATTATGTAATATCCATTTTAAGTTAACTTGATATGCGGCCCCGTAAATTCGATATGCTCGAAATAAGTATTTCATGTTAGAACGATATGCGTATTGCATAACCAGATATTTACATGCGCATATCGATTTTACGGTGACATGCTTTTTTTTTAAGTAATAGTACACCCAAAAAAATCGTTGTGCAACGTAGAGCGATTTTACATTATTTGAGATCAATTTTAATTTGATATGTGGCCAGATAAATTTGAGCTGGTCGAAAAGAGTATTTCATGTAAAAAACGATATGCGTATTGCATAACCAGAAATTTACATGCGTATATCGATTTAACATGATATCCTTTTTTTATATCTTAACAACCCACCTTTTCCTGCTGGCGCGTTTCCAGGCTGCACTCCGTCTGGGCCAGGCGCTCGGAGAGCGAGAGGAGCAGGCTGGTGATGTGACCCACGTCGTCGACGTAGGTGCGGAACTTGGAGGCCTCGCTGGGCCGGACCTTCTCCGCCAGCTTGGCGAAGAGATCCTGGCCCAGCTTGTCGTTGGCCGAGCACTCTTCGCCAATTGTCTGCTGCTCGCGCTTGAGGGAGCCAATTTTTTGGTTCAAATGCTTGATGAGTTCGTCCTGTGATAAGAAATATATATTAATATTTATATTATTTAATTTTTTATTATATACTATAACCCACCATCTTTTGTTTGATTAAATTCGTTGGCTCCTCGCTCGGCTCCTCGCCCAGCTGCAGTTCCACACTGACCACTCGGATCTCGGCGGTCGCGTTGATGGACTTCATCCTCATGAGCGTCGAGGTGCCCACATCCCGCTTGGCCAGGCGCAGCGGGACATCCGGATTGTACAGATTGCTCACGTACTGCGAGGTGGGCTTGCAGATCTTTGGTGTCAGGATGTCGGCGATCTTGTCGCCTGGGGGCAGTAGCTTCACCAGCTCCCGGCTCATCTGCTCGTAGTCCAGTTCGATGGGCTGTCGCTGGCGCGGCTGCAGCGTGGTCCTGGTCTGGTGATCCTCGCGTGCCGCCTCGAGATCCGTATCCCTGTCCTCCAGCTCATCCGTTTGGCAGGCCATATCCATTGTGCTGGGCTTGGGATTGACCATGAGGACCAGTTCGCTGCGCTGCATTAGCTGCAGTTCCTCAATCTCGGCTTCGATGGGCGGATTGGAGGTCACATCCTCCTCCGCTTCCAGGGGCGGCGGACTGGGCGGTGGCGGTGGCGTCATCAGGGGCTCATTGAGAAAACTGGCAGTGGGACTGGTTATCAGGGAACTGGGATTGGAGCCGAAGCCACCTCCTAAAAGGCCCGTCTCGCAGAGATGCGCCGACATCAGCTGGGATTGCAACTGGGTGATCTTCTCGATGTTCTCCCTCAGCGACTCCTGGCGGTTCATCGTGGGCTTCGTCTGTATAGTATTAGTGGTGCTGATCACCTCGGCGCGGAAGATGTGCGCCTCGGGCTTGGGATTGATGGAGCACTCCAGGGAGCTGGTGCTCAGGCTGCAGTCCGACTGCGAGGAGGCCGGCGAGAGGCGTGGCGGTGTGGGCGTTGGCGTGGGCGTCGGCGTGGGCGTGGCACTGGGCAGCACCTCCTCCAGCGTCGTCTCCAGATCATGGGCAGCCTGCTTGAGATCCACGTGGGACTGGGACATCAGCGGCATGCTCACCGCACTCGTGTGCTTCACATCGTACGACTGAGATCTCGTGTATTGCTGCGGGCTGGTCACCTGTTTGTAACCATGACCCAGAACCGGAGTGGAGTACCTTTGACCACTGGAGTAGTAGGGAGGTGCCTGACCCGTGGGGGAGTTTCCCATCCCCATTCCCATTCCATTTCCAGTTAGATTGTTATTGGAGCCATAGCGCAGGGTCACATTGGCATCGCCATTCGGCGATCCTGGCTGCAGTTTCCCCGGCTGCTGCTGCAGCTTAACGCCCAGCGGCAGGACATCCGGCAGATTGCTGGGCAGCTTCCCGCTGCTCACCCCGTAGCTGGGCTTCGTGTGGGCCACCAGGTCCTCGTTGGAGGTCAGGGTCAGCTTGTAGATGCCATGGTCGGGATCTGTGTTGTTCAGCTTCTCCAGACTCTGGCGCGGCAAATACGAGGCCTTGGAATTCGATCTGTAAGGAATAGGAAAAAATAAAAGGTTTATTACTTGAAGTTCAGGGAAAATACAGATACTATCTTTAAGTACTTCAGTACATCTATCTATCTTTATACACAAAACCATCATTCAAATTGCTGGGCACATATCAGTAAAGACAACCCCAAAAAAAAATCGATATGAAACGCAGATCATTTTTACATTATTTAATAAATTTTCAATTTTAGTTTGACATGCGGCCAGGTAAATTTGACCTGGTCGAAAAGAGTATTTCATGTAAAAGCGATATGGATTTTGCATGATTGACAAATTTACATTGCCATATCGATTTTACGGGCACAGGCTTTTTTTATTCCATAACTGGAATAGGTTTTAGGTACACTTATTGCTAAATTCGAGCTTTAATATACCTTTAATCTCGGATTAATTGTTTATTTTTGTGAATTCTTGATCAGAAGAATGGGTTTCTTCACTTTGTGGGCGTTGCCTAAATGCTAACTAAAATAAAGCCCAATTAAATGCAGCTTTCTGTCCCAAAATGTCAGCTTCCTCGGGTCATCGGTGGGGTCATCGGCAGTAGCGACCACAACTTGGAGAAAAAACCAAAAATATTTCCCGAATCGCACGTCTCATTAATGCAAATGCGCGGCCATAATCTGGACAGATGCTAATTGAGTCCTCGGCAGGCACTGAAAGGCCCCCGAAAACCAGATGCAATCTGTATCTCGAAGCACCCACATATTGTAAATTATTGTAATATGATGGCGAAAGCGACGACGACCGATGAAATTATTCTGTGCACGACGCGCGGAGACGACAGTTCGTCGTGTGTTAAGCTGATTTCCAGATTTCCAAGGCACACAGGGCACAAAGAGGCGGAATAAAAACGAAAGTGAAATGTTTACAGTGCAATTATAAAGAGTTTTATGTTTCAGAGTTTCAGAGCTTGAGCGTTTCAAAAAAAGCAAAAGTCAGAGTCGTTTTAGTGTGCAAGGCGTATGACGACGACGTCCGCTTCCCCTTGACAACTTTCAAAAGTGCTAAACTAATTTGTTATGTTTTTTGTATACCCATCATCATCATCATCTCTCGGCTTTTATTGTAAAAGGCTTTTGTGAAGATTTTCGCGCATATCGTTCGGCTTGGCCACCCCCTAAAAAGTTGCCAAAATCTTTATTGTTTCTGCAATGCATACACACGTGTGTATATGTAACCCCATATGAGAGCTATCTGGGTATACGAATAGTGTTTTGCATCTGAAGAAAGCCGTCGAAGAAATGTTGTCGCATTTGCATAAATTAAGAGCAGAGTGAAAGAGAAGAAGAAGATGGCCTGGCTTACATCACAGAGCTAGACAAAAACAGCTGTTGGATGGATGTAGATTTGCATAAGCCAGTCTTTTGTCTAGTTCCCTCCCTCTTCCTCTTCACTTTCTTCGGGTTAGAAAAAGAGAGACGGCTATGTAGATGCTGCCATTTCGCCTTTCCTAATCACTTCCGTTCGCCTGTTGAGTAAGTCTGCTGCCAATTTGGCTAAGACAAAGGCCAAGTCAGCCAAGAAACGGTTGCATTAGCATAGATTTGCATATCAGGCCGATGACATCACAAGAGTTAATTGAAAGCAGGTCTAATGTAAGTCGAGAACACATAGAAAACTGGGAAAACAAGAGATAATTGCTCGTATCTAGTGGTTACCATCTTGTAATCTTTCGACAAACAGCATAGATAAGGGGCCTTGGAACACAGACCCTTGTAATCCCCAGAGAATTCCACTTTCGAGCAACAGATTTACCCGACATAAGCTTATTATACATACACGGAAAAAAATTGACATGAAATAGGATCAAATCTACCTTAGTTCATGTCAACATGATATCATTTCATATAAAATATCATTGTCTATATATTTTGAACAAATAATGTAAAATAAAATAAACATATTCTTAATTCATAGCAAAGTGATATCAAAATGATATGAATAACTTGATCTTTAAAATATAAAACTGATCAGCACATATCAATTTGATCTTTTTTTTCAATTTTTTTTCTGTGTACATACAAACACGCCCTCGAATGTAACAGCTTTATTATGATTCACTCCACAGATCACACTATAAATACCCCTTGTGTTTTTTTTTGCCCGCTAATATTGTATAATTCCCAATAATACGCGGCGGGCCGAAAGACAATGACAAAAAAAAAGCGAGCCCAAAAGAAAGGGTCAAAAGAAATGCTCGGACACTGGGCTAAATACATTTCCATACAATTAACGCATATTTTATTTATATATTTGCCTATCTTTCCCTCTATTTGGCATTATTAAGCCGCGCGGGGCGTTCCATTTTGGTTATGTGATGCAAATTATTATGAAAAATTGATAAATTGCCCCTGCCTTGCATAACTGGCGGCAATGTGAGACAATAATAAACCGTTCGTCGGTGGTCAATAGGGTCGGATCATTGGAAAAAATCGGGTATTATCGCCTAGCCACCCGCCCGCTTTTGGGCAGCAATCATAATTGGTGGGTTCAGTGGCTTTTGGGTGGTGTTGCCGGTGATCCAGGTCTTGGTCAGTGGCCTTTTGCGTTGCGAGTTGCGCGTTGCGCATTGCGTATGCAACTGCAGCAGCAGCAGCAACATGCATTGCCTATGTTGCCGCTGCAACTGTTGCACTATAATTTTTGATCGGCAATATAACGAGCTGTTTGCCGCTGCCGCTGCTGCTGGCTGACTAGTTTTCGTTGATAGTAAAAGTATTTTATTTAAATATGCCGACGACGACGCATGGAAATCACGTTTTTAACATCTCGTCTCTTAACATTGAGCCGAAAAAAAGGCGAACAAATGTTGCTGCTGCTGCTGCTGTTGTTGCAGCGCTTGTTGTTGAAAACATAAACATCTCAAGCTCAGCCGAAACCAAAACCAAAACCGAAACCTGAAAACGGGTTTGGCGGCACCGCATCGCACACATTTTCACTTGCCGCAAAATGACGTCAAGTCAACAACATACAAAGTACAATAAGAAAAGTAAAACAAAACAGATGGCCATCAGCGCAGTTAGCTTTCTTTGGGTTTTTTTTTCCAGGGGAGGTCAGTCTTCTGCGGCCAGAACAAATCGCTCGTGAGAGTCTTTTTTCCCTCAGACAGTCCATCAAAGTATGCCATAAATTTCTCTTGGAAAAGTCCAAGAAAAACAATGCAGCAGCGTCGTCAGCAAGTAGCAACATCATCTTCCCAACCAGCAACAGTGGAAAAGAAAAGAAAAGTTCTCTTTCACTGAAAATGTTAGCTAAGTGGGCATCTTTATCGGACTTACTTCTAACCTTCTGGCGGAGAAGGAGAATCCCACAATTGCCCACTGAGATTTCCCCGCGCAACCTAAATCCGAATCGAAAACTTTTCCTCTCGAGCAATTTGTGCCTGTTCATCTGTTCATCTGCCTCGTGATCGGACTCCAATTGTCTGCCTCTCCGCTTGGTTTCTTGTTTTTCAGCTATTTTGTTTTCTTTTCTAATGCCGCTGTTGCTACTGTTGCCTGAGTTGCTGCTGCTGTTGCTACTGTACCATAATTATGATCCATTAATTCTGGCAGCAACGCCAACAATGATGGCTTGTGCAATATTTTTAATGTAAAATCGATTTAATGGCGCTTTTCGCTCGCGGCCCTCGAGCACCAAAAATAGACAGCTTGGGAAATGCAGCAGCCGAGGCAACAGCAGCAGCAGCAGCAACAGATGCTCTTGGCCCAGCCCCATTGAAAGTGTCGAAAGTGGCCGGCCTGTCCCATTGAATCCGATGAAACGGGGTAATTAACTTGTGAGCTAAACGGCCGCAGCTCATCATAATTACAGCTAAAAAGATGCCTGCAACCAGGGGGCAGAACACGGCAGCAACATCTGCAACACAGCAGCAGCAACACGGCAGCAACAGCAGCAGCAGCAGCAACACTAGTTGCTACCAGCACGGGAAACATGTGTGCCCACTGGACTACGACAGCAACAAGCTTGTAAATAATTCCAGCCCCACCTCCCGCACTTTAAATAGTTACTTTTGATATTCGCCAAGTTGCGTTTGCATAAACAAATTATTCAGCCAAGTGCGGGCCTTTTGTCTGCCGTCTGTTGTCTGGTGGATGTTGAATGTTGAATGTTGGATGTTGATAGGGGATTGCAGAGGAAGTGGGAGATTGAATGGTGCACGGAGGGAAAAAGATTAGCAAGAAATATATAACATGGAAAGTTTGGCAAAATGATTATGAGTTTAAAGATATAATTGGTTAGTGGGGTAAATGAATGCTTGATGAAAATGGGAATTTATATTCCTTAAAGAGAATTTATATGAATGAAAATTTGAGTTAGAAATAGAGCTTGAAAATTATCGATATTTTCGATATTTTGACATTCGAGAATATAAATGTTTTGAAGGGATATCAAAAATTAAATATCGAGAAATAGAAAACTGTCGATATTTTTTTGCAGCACTAGTTAGAAAAGTTCATTACATTTTTTAGCTGCAAAATTATATCCAAATTAATTCACTAAAATTTTCTCTCAGTGTATAAATGGGCTGGCGAAGGGGTTCACTGCTAATATCCGCGACACATCTGCCAATGACATTTTCACTCTCAGCCCACTTGGCATATAAATTGTACACACAGCGACCAACTTGTGTTTTGCCCTCGGGCGCATGCGCAACACGTCCGCCATGGCCGGATCAGCCGAAAGTAGGGGATCTGGAGGGGGGTAGGGGATACAGGGGATGGCTACAAGACTTTGAGCCATTTGCGTTTTTTTCTTTCGGTATTTTTTGTTTTAGATATTACACAAAAGCCGCTGTTCGTCGAATGCCAAAGTGTTGCGGCCATTGAAGGAACTGCCCTGAATACGGATTTCTCATTGTTTTTAGCCAACTAATTTCAACCGAAAGAGAGCGAAAGATAATGGTCGAAAGAGCGAGGAGGCCAAAGCACACACATTTACTTGTTAGCCAAGATCCGGCGGCGGAGAAATGAAATGGAA